CTGGGCAAGTGTGCTCACTGCCCCCTAGTGTGTATGTGGTGTTGCACTGCACGGATTGCGGAGGTGAAATTTCCCTGTTGTGGGACTAATAAGGGTCACTTAATTAAATCTTAATGCAGGACAGCCAATCAGAATAATGTCCATTTGCATATATAATTTCAGCACATTAAAACACATTAATGAAGGTTTATCTTGTTTACTGGATCATGTGAAAGCTTCATTTCATCAGAGCACCTACAGACCTCATGAAGAACATTTGTGGTTGGTCAGGATTCTTTGCAGCACATGAAACATTGTTATGATTGACTATAGAGTCATTTGCATATAACAGCTTTCTGCAAGATCAGGATTGCAAAGGCCAACATTGCAGTGATGATTGAAAAACATTATATTGCACAGCCTCATGTGCATAAATAATAAACAATACAAAAACACAAACAAAAGCAGACACTACATCAATCATTCAGGTCCGCTCAGTAAATCAGCAGAGCTCAGTGGCTCTGCCCAACAACAATGTCCAAGCTTTAACAGCAGACCTTTTTTCAATGCTATGGTAACGCTGCCAGCTGCACGCGTTGGCCTGTCTGGTGGTGTAATTTACGATGTTGACCACCAGCGAGCTCCAACGCACTGAATTCCACAGCAGCCACAGCCCAGAGGTCTCTGCACACATTTCTGAAATTTCAGCAGCATTAAAGAATCATCTGTTGTTATGGTGGGAATAAATTATTGAGACTGGAATTTTAAAGCAATTATCCATTCAAGGCAGCATGTTAGAGTTTCTGCTGTTTATTTAAGTTTAAAAAACTTGAGAACTAACAACCATAATCATAACTAGCAATCATAACTGACAACTAAAAATTGGGTCTGTAAAGCACTGCATTGCCTCTTTTTGCAGGTCCTTTAGCAGCTGAATGGAAATCAACTCGAATATGTTTAATTCGTATAATCAAATAAAATATTTTCTTCATAACCCTGTTATCAGATTGCTATTAGGACACTGTTGCCTGTGTGTGAAAGGCTGTAACTCTGTGTTGAGCTGCTAGTGAGCAATGAAAGGCCTTATTGAGATAAAACAGCAGCACAACTGCAGCTTTCTTCATATTAAACAATCATTTACAACTGCATAAATAAATATAATTTAAACACAATAAAAACACTTTTACAAATAATAACAAATGAATACCATATATTACCCATTCCATTTTTCAGATGATCAGTTAGTTTGTTTTCTGTTTAATTTTGTGCAACCATGTACCTTAAAAAGCCAAACTATTCTTTATTCATGTTTTAGCGACCCCTTTATATCACACATATTTCAGTCAAAATACTGCATCAACTGAAGTATGTCCAGAACAGGGGCTTTATGGCTACTGTAGAAAAAGGTTTTAACTAAAACCATTACAGCGGCTGATATCACTGGCTGTCTGAATTTTTAATTTCAGTATTAGTACTGATGATAAAATGTTTCTTATCAATTGAGTCTTAACTGAATTGCATGCATTGGATCAAGAAAATTACCAAAGGGGTAGTGCAGAGGTACACAGGGTTTGTGACAGAGGCCATGTTGCGAGGGGTCTCCTGATGGGAGGTCTGACCATGAGATTTTCTATAATGAATCTGGCAACTTTGCCACAAATATACTGATGAACCCTGTTTTCACAACATATAGGGCTCCAGACAAACTTCCTTGCCAGAACTATACCAAATCAATTTGTGTGTTTACATGCACTTAATAATCTGATAACTGCAAGAAATCAGATTTTGTCAGTAATCCAATTAATGAGTTTACATACACTTGTGTAATCAGATAATGGGGAAACTCCAGGTCTACATGATTCAGACAAAGAAATCAGAGTAAGAGTTCACATGCACTGAGAAATCTGATTACTGAGCTAAATCCAGCTCTCTTTATTAGATTTCTTAATCGGATTTCTAGACCTTACCCCGATGTAAGAAATCAGAGTGTGCTGTTTACATTTGAATAATCAGATAGCTGCAGAAATCTGATTATGATCGGAGTATTGAGTGCATGTAAACACACTCACTGTGTCATTAAAGATCAAAATCAGTGTAAATTCATATTATGTAATCTTCACTACAATGAAAACCTGAAAAAGAAGATGGTCGCCTCATGTGAGGGCATTCATTTTGTTAAAAAATTCAAATTTATTTAAGGAAATGGCACAGAATGCCCCTAAGTTCAAGTTTATCTCTCTTATGGGGGATACCTATGCTCTTATGGCCAGTCTGGGACCCCAAGCCACCCTCTCAATTCAAACCCCGCCGCTCCATAACTATGGGAAACAGTGACTAAGGAGCTGTTCTGAGATACTAGCTGGCCCTGGGGGTGTTTGGGACACCTTGTACTTGATGTGTGCTTCTTCTCACCATGTCTTCCCTCAGTCAGCTACAGTGTAAAACAGGCCGTCTAATGTACAAGGGAACCTGTGTTCTTCATGTTTTGGTGGTATTAAGAAAGGAAACCACGTCAGGCTAGCATGAGCTCCAGTAGCACTTATCTTGATTAAATCTTAATAAGCAGAAGTTCAAGGTTCAGGATGGATCTCAGCTACAGGAAAAGAAAGTGCAGGGAAGCAAAACAAAACAGAAGAAAAAAAGCTTGCACAGCAAAATGGGAGGGAAGTCTGGCAAAACTAACACGCCACACCTGTGTGCATGCGTCTCTCGGGCCTGGAACAATTTGACATGTTCTTGGAAAAGGTAATGCATTCTACGAGCAGAACTACTCAGAAACGTTCAAAGAAAATATTGTTGACTTGTAACGCTGAGGATACGGATTAGGTTTAGTCTTGGACTAAACTGCAACACAAGTCAGATTTAGTTCAGGCCTCAATCTGGGTCTGGAAATCCAGCCCACAAGCTTTAAAGGAGATTCACATGAACTGAGAGCACACCAAACAGATGATGAAATATATAAAGCGGAAAAACTTCTGTAAGATCCAGCAAAGAATGTTTTGTTGGCCTCATGAACTGCCTGAAATTCCTTGCTGTACTCTACCGCCATCTGCTGACTGCTTATGTTACTGCACTTCACAAGCAGAAGCCATGTTTCAGACTAAACTACATGGGCTGGTTAGCTGGACCCAGATTAGGCTTAATTTAGTTTATGTTTTGCATGATTTAAAATACACACAAATAAACAAAAATAACATAATATACAGTGCAGAGAGAGGCAAAAAACCTAAATTTGTATATTCAATAATACACAAAACATAATAATGATACAAAATAAACATCATGTATAAGCATGTGTGTGCTGTGCATGTGTACAAGGGCATCCATGCGTACATACGTAAAATCAGCAGCACCCATATTAACTCCTGATCCATAGTAATATATATATATATATATATATATATATATATATTACATATATATATACATATATATATGAATAACTGAAACAAATAAAACATGGACACTAGACTACAAGGGAAAAGCAACTGCAGTATGGATATTAAATGTCTTTTGTAATATTTTAAAGAAGAATAATTTTTGCCTAATGGGAAAGCCTATTATATATTTAAGTGCCCGCTAATTTTTATTACCATTTGACCTCTACAAGTGAGAAATTTAAGAGGATGAAGATCTAAAGATTGACAAGTTGAATATGAATGAACCCCTGATTTTTTTTATTAATAAATAAAAATACCTATTTGAAAAAAAATACTCATATCATAAACAGTAAGAATCTGAAGTTTCTGAAATAAAGGAAGTAGATGACATATACATCTGTTCAGGTTGCAATCCTAATAGAACGTTTCTGGAGAACCCAAATTTTGTGCAGAGTAGTGGAAAAAGTACTTGCCCAATAAAAATTAGACTCTAATAAAGAGTAAGAAGACAATTTGTGTTGACCAGATGACCAGTTGACCAAGAAGTCGACTAAACAATCTAAATTTAATCCTCAACTAAAATGGCTTTTCAGTGTTACTTTACCATTGACATTACAATTTAGTCCGGGACTAGGCTTAATCTGTGTCCAGGAAACCGGCCCTATGGGTCAGTTTATCAGACATGAACTACGCCTAGTCTTGGACTAAGCTGCAATGGAGCTTCGACATTAAGGGTCAATTTCCCAGACAGGGATTAAGCCTAGTTCTGGACTACACAAGACTCTTCCCTGCAGGAATAATCCTTGTCTGGGAAACCCCATAAATTCCTAATTAGTCAAGGTTTATGATCAATCTGGGTCTGGAAAACTGACAATATGTATTAGTGTGGTCATACAGTCTTGGATAAGGATGTCTGTTCTCTGTCTGATCAGATTAGATGAGCTCTGAGTGTGTTTTTATTTACAGAAAAAGCAGCTGTTATTGATATTAGACACAGTTTCAGCAGTTCGACTATATTGGCCTAGCCATTCTATAGTTACAAGAGAATTCCACCAATTTGTCAAAAGTTCTGCATAATTAAATGGTTGAGATGTAAAGAAAATCATTCATAATTGCTTGAAGTGAGATGCACCAATATGGGGAAACTTATGATATGCAAGGGAACCAGAACCAGGTCAGAATTGTTCACAGTGGTGGTGATAGGAACCAGGCGTCTCAGTAGTTTAATGCCTCTAAAAGCTCCATCACAGAACGTTATTACATGATATGGTTATGCATACACTGTCAGAAGACACATGTAGGTTAACTGGTGGTTTTGGATAGCAAATAAAAAGGCTATTTCTGTGTTGTAGACATCACACCACCTGGTTCCTATCACCACCACTGTAAAGAAATCTGAGTTGATAAGTTCCTTCAGAACGGAGCCTTTCACATCAAACCACTCTGAACGACTCTGTTTGCATCTCAGACATTTAGTTACACAGAAATGTAGAAGTTTTGACTTTTCCTTCTTGGTTCTCAATCAAACATTAATGCAATACAGTGAGCAGCATCTAATGTTTAGCTGATGAGGAGCATCTTGATGACATCACTGACATCCACGAAAGCAAAAGTCACAGGTCAGTGACAGCCAGCTCCTACCTGACACTTCCCGGCTACACAGATGGACGTATCGTTCTGTCCACATGGAGTCCCGTCGATGACCCGGTCCGACTGACGGACGTAAAAACGGTATCCGATCGCCCGACAGTTGAGCTCACACAGCTGGTCTCCAGGAACTGTGAAGAATTAAAGTTGCACAAAATCACTAAAGTACAGTACAAACAGTAGAACAGGATCGGTTACTGCTTGTCTGTTCTGTTTTCTATAAAATACACAAAATATGAGCAAATTTCATGCTTCAAGAAGTGTCAGAAACCATATAAGCAAACATCAGACACCAAGCAGGTCTTGGATGATGGACTACACTTTCTTGTGCACATTTAATGTTTTGGCTAAACTGTCGCTTTAAACTTTAAATCCAATGTGCTGGATCATGGGTGTTCATAGAGGCCGCCATAGGAGGGCAGCAAAGACACCAGGTAAAGAATGACAAGAACTAAGGCAGGTATCACTAGAGCCTTTTGCTATGAATGAACTAAAATACCATGAAGCACAATTTAGGGTTTCTAATTTGAGATCAACTACTAAAAACCTGCGAGCGACAGAGAGCAGCATACCTTAGAACTTCAGATCGAGCAGCGTCCAAACTTTACTTGAAAATTACTTGAAAATTCTGCAGTTAGCAGGCCGCTAACCCCCTCACGCCTCTCCCTCTTATTTTGTTTTTCTCCCTCTCTCTTTCTCTGTCTCTCTCACAGATACTTCCTCAGCCCATCCACGATGGCGTCCCCCCAAGAACGAGCTCTCCAGGCACTGAGCTCAGAGTTGGCCCGGCTGGACCGGCAGATCACCGCCCTCCTGAGGAAGCAGGACGAGCTCCTTCGGCGGAAGTCGATGCTCGAAGCTGCCCGGGAAGTTTCCCCCTCGGTGGTTGCTCCAGCCTCGTCTTTCTGAACGTCAGTAGACGCCATTCTCACACCAGCCCCACATGGACCCTGGGAACGCCAGCGCCGCAGAGGGCCTCGCAGACCCTCACCGCCGCCCCAGCCGATATTCACCTCCTGCAACCGTTTCGCCACCCTCGGTTCACCGCCTACGCCCTCGCCTACGTCTCAGGCCTCTGGGCCTCGTTTTGGGAACAGCCAGCGCTCTACCGCAGGGATGGCCTCCACCCTAGTCATCTCGGATCTGTTGTCCTCTCTAGGAACATCAAGAGGGCCATCCACTGACTACACAGCGAAGGCCACGTAAGTAGCGCCAAAAATAGAAACGCTAAATGCTAGTGTTAGTACTGAAAATAAGACGATTACTAGCACTTATACTGTAAACAAGGCAAGTGCTGATAAAAATACTTATTCTATAAATACAAATGCTCATAGGTTTCTCCCAATTGAGACTGTGTCTGTTCCCTGAATAAAACAAAGCCTCGAAATGTTTGCTCTAGTAACTTGATTAATATCAGACCAGTTGTACCACTCTGCAATGACCGCACCTTTGGTCTAAAACTAGGACTGCTTAACATAAGATTTCTCACACCTAAAGCCGTTGCTGTAAATGAAATTATTACTGATCACGACTTTGATGCTCTGTGTCTAACAGAGACGTGGATTAGACCTGAGGAGTACTTAGCTTTAAATGAAGCCACCCTAAAAGGTGGAGGCATAGCAACCATTTACACCAATACTTTAGGACTAAACCAGAAAGCAGACCGTAGTTTCTCTTCCTTTGAAATTCAGTTTCTCAATGTTAGCAATCGAGGAACAAATGAGAGCTCATTTTCGCTCATCATAGTCTACAGGCCACCGGGGCCTTACTCTGAGTTTTTACAGGAATTTACTGACCTGTTATCTAGTTTAATAACAATCTCAAATAAAGTAATAATTGTTGGAGATTTTAATATCCACACAGACAAACCACAGGATCCGCTAAGTAAGGCATTTGTATCTATTTTAGACTGTTTTGGCTTCACTCAAAATATTATGGGGCCTACTCATTACTGTAACCACACTCTAGACTTAATATTGACCTTAGCTATAGCATTTGGCCATCCTTCCTCAGACCACAGCAGTGTCAGATCACTACTTAATCTCATATGAAATCAGTTTTAGTCGTAATATATGTTCATCCACACGCTATAGTGTTAAACGTACTATAACATCGTCTACACCCAATAGCTTTGCTGAAAACCTTCCAGATCCTTAATTAGCTATCCGTCTGTAATTAAACCCCTAATTAAGAAACCTAATCTTGATCCCTCTGGAGTTATCAAACTATAGACCTATTTCAAATCTTCCCTTTTTATCAACAATTTTAGAGAAAGCCGTGGCAAAACAGTTATGTTCCCATCTGCAGAGGAGTGATATATATGAAAAATTTTAGTCTGGCTTCAGGCCTCACCATAGTACCGAAACACCGTTAGTGAAAATTGTAAATGATCTTTTATTATCCGCTGACAAAGGAAACATATCCTTACTGGTTTTACTCCATCTTAGTGCAGCTTTTGATACAGTAGACCATTCCATTCTATTAGACAGGCTTGAGAAACTAGTAGGAGTGACAGGTAAAGCTCTTTCGTGGTTCAAATCTTACCTTAGTGATCGCTATGAGTTTGTTAATGTAAATGGTGAATCATCAGCTCTCACAAGAGTAAAGTATGGTGTTCCACAGGGCTCTGTCTTAGGACCCATATTATTTACGTTATATATGCTACCACTAGGTACCATCATTAGAAAACATGGCATCACTGCTACGCCAATGATACACAATTGTATATTTCAGATAAACCAGAGGACAAAATTGAACTTAATAATAGTTCATGCTTTATCACGTCCAGGTTAGATTACTGTAACGCTCTGCTTTCTGGTTGTTCCAGCCAAAACCTTAACAAGCTTCAGTTAGTCCAGAACGCTGCAGCCAGAGTTCTCACCAAAACCAGGAAATTTGACCACATTAGCCCAATTTTGTGTACCTTACATTGGTTGCCAGTTAAATTCCGCATTGAGTACAAAATTCTTCTACTGGCGTATAAAGCTTTGAATGGCCTTGATCCTCAGTACCTCAGTGACCTTATTTCCTACTATCAACCGACACGCCCACTTAGACCACAAGGTGCAGCTCATTATTAGTACCTAGAATTAATAAAGTTACGTCAGGGGGAGGAGCCTTTTCATACAAAGCCCCCCAGCTTTGGAACAGCCTACCAGTCTGTGTTCGGGACTCAGACACAGCCTCCATCTTTAAGTCTAGGCTAAAAACTTGCCTGTTTAGTCGAGCCTTTGGTTAATTAGTTTTCCTGTTAGAAAAAGGCGCAGATCTGGGACAGAGAGTCTTATGGTAATCTGGGAATGTTGGTGCTGAACTAACAATCTGCCCCCCCCCCATCCCCCCCAAAAAACCACTCAATCACATCCCAGGGGGATCTGCTGCGGCCAGCGCACTGTACAGAAGTGTAAAACTGTATACACTTATACTGTTTTGTGTCTGTGCTGTTATCCGGTGTCGACCAGAGGAGGATGGGTTCCCCTTTTGAGTCTGGTTCCTCTCAATGTTTCTTCCTCCTGTTGAGGGAGTTTTTCCTTGCCACTGTCCCGGATTCTCCGCAAAGCTGCTTTGTGACAACATCTGTTGTAAAAGGCGCTATATAAATAAATTTGACTTGACTTGACTTAAAGCCTCACAATTTGACTGTTACGCTTGCTGGGAAAACAACAAATAAAACCTCTGTTTCTGCTGTGAGCAAATCACAGGCATGATTCCAGGTCAAACAGCAACATGCAAGGAATTTAAAACCAAACACCTGGACAATATTCCAATCTTACGTGCGGTCTCATAAAACCTTCAGACAGACAGCATCAATCAAACCGTGACCAGGGAACAGTTATAGCAGATCAGAGATCCATTAGTGCCAATCAATGCTAATGACTCTACAGTTATGATTACAATAACTTAAAACCAGTTAAGACACTGTCAAAGTGCTCTGTCCTTCCCAGCCTAAAGCTATATAGGAAAAGTGTTTAATTGTGGTGTAACTGAGGTTTTTATGTATAAACATTATGCACAAGCAGCCAGTTAACCAACCTTAATGTTGCTAGCTAGCTACTATAACATTCCAGCCTAGCTACTGTGGCATTACTGTAAGAGATTTATCAACAAGGTTTTCCCCACTGTACCATATGTGACCAAAACAAAGGAGAAGAAGGTGCTTAAACCAACTATAGATGGTGTGAAACTAGGGCTGTGCAGATGACAAATTTTGCTATTTGACAATCCATCAAAGTGAGAGAAGTAAAATTCAACAATAAAAAGAGAAAAAAGACAAAATAAGCACAGGGCTGTAGGCTGACTTTATAGATTATAGCACTGGACTTTGTAAAGTCTTGTAAAACATGTTTTATTATCCGAAATAGTTGAGGGAAATCGGTGCGTTTTTGTGTTGTCTGCCTCTTCAGTGGGGCTAATGAGCTACCGCTAACCAGTACACCGCTGGATGCTCATTAGGACTGCTTCAAAGGAGCTAATGAGCTAATTCTTACTAGCACACCGCTGGTTGCTCATGAGGACATCTTCAGAGGAGCTAATGAGCTAATTCTTACTAGCACACCACTGGTTGCTCATGAGGACATCTTCAGAGGAGCTAATGAGCTAATTCTTACTAGCACACCGCTGGTTGCTCATGAGGACATCTTCAGAGGAGCTAATGAGCTAGTGCTAACCAGTACACCGTTGGATGCTTGTGAGAACTACACAAGGTATTTTCTCCTCAGTGAATGATGTGTGAAAAATGTAGCTTTGTCAGAGAATATAATATACAATACAGTATAATATTTCCCTGTTTCTGGACCCAGCTACCATCAGCTAGAGTAATTAGACCTGTTAGCGAAAAAGCCTCATCACCGCACCGGCTATCTCCGCCTTTTCGGTCATGTCCCTATAACAACATGGCCTTGGCAGCATGTTCATGTTAAAGTTGTGTTTAGTAGTAGCAAATTATAATCAGGGCTGGGATGTAACGAAATACAAGTATTGGGAATATGTATTCAAAAATACAGAAATTAAGTATCTGTATTCATTCACAATTTGCAAAAGTAGCATTCAGAATACAGCTAGCTTTTACATTCAGGGAGAATACTTTTAGAGTACTTACCCCCTAAATAAATATATTAATAATAATAACAGTGATAATAATAAAATCAGCACACGGCATGTAACAAATATGCCTGTTGGACTAATTCTAAGGAGGACCTCAATTCTTTACAAACACTGATGTTCCTGCTAGAGCCTGAGTAGACTGATAAACCAATGTGATGAGCCAGTTATTAACATCAGATTTACCGATACTGATCTTCTGAGGGATGATCAAACTAATAATCTCCCCGGTAGTGGACATGTCTGCAGGTGATAGGTTTAGCATCAGTGTTGTACTGGACTCATGGAGATTGTATATCGCTGTTGTCGGAAGAAAACCTCATATCTCCATTTTTGACGTTTTTCAGTTGTTGACATAATTTGAAAATGCCTGTCGCTTTTTACATTGTGTGTAAATTTCATGATGAATGGACCAAAAGAAACGGCCCAAAATGACTTGGAAAAAAGTCTGGTTCCATTGACTTACATTAAAAGTAAAGTAGGTTTTTTCCTTCTCCTGTAAAGTTCTCATTTTGGTGATACAAGGTTTTCTTTTAACAGAACGTTATTACATAAAATGGTTATGAATATGTTGAATAAAACCTGAGACTGTTTTACAATAGTTCTGAGAAGGCACTGGCTTTTTAAAATCCATTTATGGTAGAGAGGTAGATGCATGGCAAATTAATCCCCAAAGGAAACTTTTTCACTATTTTGCTTACTAATTTTCATGATTTTCCATGAAAAATAAAATGGCTGTATTTGTGTTGTAGACATGGTGACCCCTGGTTCCTATCACCACCACTGTAAAGAAACAGTCTCTGTTTCTCTACAGTAAACCATTTCACATCAAACCACTCTGAATGACTGTGTTTACATCTTAACGATTGAATGAGGCATCAATTTTAAAAAAATCAACAGAATTACCCTCTAAATTAAACTGTGCTGCTGCTTAGGAACAACTTTCCCACCCTCAGACAACATAGCACTCATACACACACTTGCATACACGATATTGGATCCTGTTCAACCAACAAGTTCTACATTGTTAGATGAGCTTGTACTCATGTTAGGTAAAGCAGAAACGGTGCCAGAACACAGCCACGCACTCGTAAACTGAAGTATGCACTGACATGACAGAACACCGGACTGTCAAAAGCAACATTTATATCTGGGCAAGACTGAAACCGAGGGATTAAAGGCCGACGCTACAGTGTGACAAACCTAATGTGCTTAAATTAGAGTCACATTTTTCACGCCTCCAGCACTCTTTACACTGAAAGGCATTTTGACAGATGGATGCTATCTTCATTACCATCCAAACATAGATGCCCTGTAATATTGTGACCCTACTGTTGCTTGGCGACCCCAACACAGAATCTATGGTGCTTAACAAGGTATGAAATCTATCAAAGCCCTATGAACATCATATACGTCAGTTCATACATTGCCTCTCATAACAAAACTGCCAAGATGATAAATTTAAAAGGCCCATATTATTGATTTCCTTTCTTTTCTGAAATAAAACAGTTTGATGTAGTGTGAAAACATTCCATTCACTCCCCTATTAATATGGCCTATACCAGGGGTGCACAACTCCGGTCCTGGAGGGCTGGTGTTCAGCACAGTTTGGTGATTTACCTGCTCCAACACATCTGATTACACTTATCTGTTAACTGCCAGGTTAAGTGGGTTTGTTTGAGCAGGGAAACCTCCAAACTGTGCTGGACCCCGGCCCTCCAGGACCGGAGTTGTGCACCCCTGGCCTACATAGTCACATGCAGAAGTTTGAACATCCCTGGTTATATGTTTTATTAATTTTCGAAGCGAGAGTAAATTAATACATCATGTACAAACCTAAATATGGCAGCTTAACATATTAGAAAAAATAAAAAATTCAAATTTAAAATGTGCCATGACTTTTGCACACCTTTTATGCTTTTATATTTTTCCCAATTTGTAAAATTCAGCAAATACACAGTAATTGTGCATTAAAATGTTCTTCACTTAGAAATGTACCCAAACTTTTGCATACAAGTGACTTAAGCCTTGAAAAACAGTCCGTTTTGAATTCACTGTTTTTGTGATGTCACGAAAACCCACACATTTGCATACATATAGCCATCTATTCAGCCTAGAGTGGTGTGGCTCCACCCATTCACGCTGAAGTTATAAGGAGTGTTTCGGCCTGGACTATATAATACACAGCAGCCAATCAGAAGAGAGATCGTTTACATATATCAGTTTTAAAGGCATCAATTAAAAGCAGTATATTAAAATGGAAGAGATAAAGAGATAGGAAGAAGGAAAATGGTCATGTAAAAATGAATTCTGGCTTGTTTTAGTACATAAACCCATACAAAAGCCACTTAAGTGGACATCAGGGTGAAAAACGAAACACCAGAAAAATGTAGGATATGGGCCCTTTAAAGAAACCAGCACAGGAATCTCACCTTCGTTGAAAGGTTCCCATTCGTAGAGTCGGCCCATAAAGGGCTGGCTGTTATAGGAGGAACACTGGACGTCTCTGATATGCCTGCTGGCTGGGGGACAAGGCTGTAGATGGGTGGACACAAACACAAAGATACAAGCACTAGTTAGAGACATACAGTGGATTTTCATTGTGTACATTATCACTGTTACTTTCTGGAAGAATGTCCACTTTTCCGCCAATATAGGACTTATCTTGAGTTTCCTGCACTTTCTAAGAACAAAAGCTCCATTGAAAATCAAGCCCATGCACTATAAACAAGAGGAATGACTTGCAGCCTTCAGAGGTTTTTGTAAGGAAAGTAGTCATACAGAAAAAATAGTGATGTATTAAAGGGGAATTCCACTTATTTTTCAAAATTTCTGAATTTAGACATTAAGATGTAGAGTATTCAGAGTGGACTGGTGTGACTGTAGAGATTCTGAGTTCTTTCATAGTGGTGGTGATAGGAACCAGAACCAAGTCTACAACACAAATATAGACATTTTATTTACGACCCAAAACCACCAGCAAACCTGGAGTGACTTCTGAGCTTTAATATGTTATACTGATGGTAAAATAGTGGGAAATCTGAAAATGTATATTTTCTTTGGGAACTATTTTGCTTTAGAACATCCTGCATGTACCAATTTGCCATTAATAGATATAAAAAAACACATTTTAGGCCAAAACCTTCACAAAACTATCATAAAACAGTGTCTCAGGCATCAGGCAGTGTATTTACAACCACATCATGTTGTAACCTTCTGTGAGGGAGCTTCTAGAGGTGGATATCTGGTCCCTATCACCACCACTGTGAACAGTTCTGACCTCAGTTCTCACCAAACCACTCTGAATGAATTGTTTACATGACTTGCTACATATATATGTTTGAATCGAGTAAATTTAATGCATCATCTCCTGACCAGAAGCACTTTCATATCATATGCTCTTGAATCTGTTAGGCAGAGGTGTGTGTATGTGTGTAAACCCCTGACTCTGTAACATTCCTCCCTCTGGACAATTCCTGCTTTTATGACTGCCGTGAGGAGACGTCACCACCCACCACATCCACACACATACACATACCGCAATCCTTTCTGCCTCAACAAGCAGCGGATCTTCATCCCATCACAATATCAACCATAACACTTTCTAGGATTAAATCAATTTAAATTCATACTAGGGGCGCACGGCTGGAATCTGCATATTTTTGTGCAGTCAGACAATTTATTAATTTCATTTTGGACAATCTTCTTTTGCAACTGTATGTCTTAACTAATGTGATACCCAAATATCATAGCATAGCTTTGCATGACTCATTGTGCTAAACAGTCACTCACAGTTTATTTGATTGCATGTTATTTAAATTAATTACATAAGTTTTTAATTTATGAATTTAAAATGCAAGTTTGGCCTGTTAAAAAGCAAACAAATGTTACTACTGTGTTTCATGAGTTCACTTAGTCCACACAGTGAGAGCTTTGGGTATTTAAACAATAAAAATAATTTTAAAAATAATAAAATTTGGACATAAATCTGAATCAGACATCAAATTCATGATCAGGGCACCTCTAATTCCCTCTCTGTCCAGAAACTGCAGATGACCTACAGCAAAAGCTCCACTGTTTCACTATTGGAAATAGCAAAAACCATCAGCTGTCTTAAGATGAATGAATATGGTTGGACAAATGTTCCTTGTGCAAATGTATGGATTATTCTACTGACCTGGTTCAAAGTCAGAGCTGAAAACATATTTCTTTTAACTGACTTGGACTATACCTTATTTATGTTTATTTTATTAAAATCAATGATTAAACTTTCAATTGTCGTCTCTACCAAAACAATCCTAACACTAAAGAAGCCAAGTGTTTCAGTAGTGACTGTTTCGGTAGTGACAATTCTGGCTAATTTTGAGCAGAACTAAAAAAACACTAGACGCACCAGACACAGCTGTACACACATAAAGTTGTAATATTTGTGTTTCGGTAGTGATAATTCTTATTGTTCCACACTGATTGTCAATGAGATCCATCTGCTCACCATGTGGCCATGAGGTACAGGGATGCAGTCTCACTTCCTGCTCTAAAATGCAGGGGTGTGGCTAAAATAAGGCTCCGCCTACAGACTAAAACCTGAAAACTATGTTTCGGTAGTGAGATGAAAATGTGGGACAGCATTTTTTTAAATAAGTTTTCTTATTTTTAAATAAATTCATGATCATCTAACTTCACTTTAAATGGCATCAAAAAGTTATTTTTAAAAAACAGCAACAAAAAAATAAAACCTCCACCAAAACTTTCAACTCTTACATTCATGTTGCACATCTTGTACTGGCTGGGCTCTCCGGAGCAGGACGAGGCTGGTAGGGGGTTGTAGGGTCTGGCTTGAGCGGACGTGTGGCCACCCCCTGACGCCAGGGTACCAGAAGGATACTGCTGCTCTGGCTGAGCCTGAAGGCCTGGGCTGGGCTGGTGCAGAGGAACCCAGGCTGCCTGCTGATTGTTGTGGTGAGTATTTTGGTGAGTACTTCTGAGGCTCTGCTGGTGCTGCCTATAGCTGTGGGGTCGGTAATCAGTCGGGGGGTGAGACTGATGGGGGCTGTGCTGATGGGAGCCCATGTCTCTCTGTGAGGATATGACATACGGCATCTTCCCATAGCCATACATCCCTGGAGTGATTCGGCCACTGTGGCTTCGCCTTAAAGGCACAAAAAATGACATTCATTACATTCAATTTCAATGAGAAAATATAATAGAATGAGTACAGAGTCTTTTATACAGACGTTTTCTAGACATATGTCCTTAAAGTAATGTTACCACAGGACTTCAGTACAGTTTATGACTGATTTTTACAAGTTTTTAGTACAAATTACTGTAGTGTCTACTTAATTATATGGACATTGCTGCAAAAACATCTATCAAAAGGTTCATATGAATAAAAAAGTGAATTTCCCTCACTTTGCTTTTAAATGTACGCCTCATTTAGAATTCATTGTTTTTGTGATGTCACAAAAAATAATGAATCGTTTTTGTGATGTCACAAAAAACCAATGAATCCAAAAATGTCCCCTATCGATAGGTTCATATGGAAAAAAAAGTTAATTTTCCTCACTTTGTTTTTGAAACAAAGACTTTCTTGACATCACAAAATTGATTCATTGTTTTTGTGACATCACAAAAATAATGAATCATTTTGTGATGTCACAAAAACACTGCATCCAAATAAGACTTCTGCCAACAGGCTTATATAAATAAATAAGTGAATTTTCTTCACTTTGTTTTTGAAACTAAGCCTCATTAAGAATTCTTTGACATCACAAAGCCAATGAATCATTTTTGTGATGTCACAAAAACACTGAATCCAAAAAAGTCTTCTAACAACGGGCTTATATAAATAAATAAGTGAATTTTCTTCACTTTGTTCTTGACATCACAAAAACAATAAATCATTTTTGTGATGTCACAAAAACGTCCCATATCGAAGGGTTCATATGAATAAAAGAGTGAATTTTCCTCACTTCACTTTTGAAAGTAAGCCTCATTTAGAATTCACTGTTTTTGTGATGTCACAAAAACCAACACATACACACATATTTCTCTATACACCCATTCTGCTTGAATTAAATTTTAGACTAATTTTAGAATTAAACATAATTCCAGCCTGTTCTGATTGGCTGCCCTGTATCGAACTGATATTTGTCTATTTTGATTAAAGACAGGCTGGGGCTGGCAAAGGTCAAGTAAAATAAATTATGACTGCATAAAACCACACACATGGACCTCAGGACAGTAAAAATAAAATACAAGAAGAATGTAGGATATGTGCTCTTTAACTTTATTAACTGAATGATGTTAAAAAGCTGTACCGTCTCCCAGGTCGTGGGTCACTCTGCTGCTTCCTGTATGGCTCGCGGATGGTGTGGTGAGTATTCCCATGATGCAGCGGCATTGAGGGTCTCAAGGCTGACACCACATGCCCGGGTTGCTGTTGCCTCGTGTGAGGAGCCTGTCTGGGAGCATATGCTGTGGCTGGAGGATTAAAGGTGGGGATGCATGGCCTTGTTTGCTCCTGGACCCCCCCACCACAGGAGCGGGAACATTCACCCCATTGGCTCCAGGAGCCCCACGACCCTGGAGGGGCACCATCATTAACCGCCAACTGGGACTCTGACCTAGGAGCAACCTGCGGCCACATAAAGTGTGCATTACTCTACTATACAAGGGAGCAGGTCAAAGAGCCACTGAACCTTGAGCAGAACACACAAATCACTCCCTTTTTAGTATGTCTGAGATACTTTCGTATCTCGTATTGATCTAATATGTGTGAAATACTCTTTTCTCTCAGCTTTGAAACTTGCTGATACATGTAACTGTGCAAAAGACAGACATTATACACTGATCAGGGATTGTTTCTACGCTGACTGTCCATTTAATCAGCTTCACTGACCATATAGGTGCACTTTGTAGTTCTACAGTTACAGACTGTAGTCCATCTGTTTCTCTGCATACTTTGTTACCCTATTCTTTAATGCTCAGGACCCCCAGAGGACCACCACAGAGCAGGTACTATTTGGATGGTGGATCATTCTCAGTACTGCAGTAACACTGATGTGGTGGTGGTGTGTTAGTGTGTGTTGCGCTGGTCTGAGTGGATCAGACACAGCAGTGCTGCTGGAGTTCTTAAACACTGTGTCCACTCACTGTCCACTCTATTAGACACTCCTACCTTGTCAGTCCACCTTGTAGATGTGAAGTCAGAGACGATAGCTCATCTGCTGCTGCACAGTTTCTGTTGGTCATCCTCTAGTCCTTCATCAGTGGTCACAGGACGCTGCCCACAGGACGCTGTTGGCTGGATGTTTTTGGTTGGTGGACTATTCTCAGTCCAGCAGTGACACTGAGGTGTTTAAAAACTCCAGCAGCACTGCTGTGTCTGATCCACTCTCACCAGCACAACACACACTAACACAACACCACCACGTCAGTGTTACTGCAGTACTGAGAATGATCCACCATCCAAATAGTACCTGCTCTGTGGGGGTCCTGACCACTGAAGAACAGGGGAACAAAGTTGCAGAGAAACAGACAGACTTCAGTCTGTAACTGTAGAACTACAAAGTGCACCTATATGGTCAGTGGCTGATTAAATGGACAATGAGTGACAAAACAGGAAGGTGGTTTGATGTTATGGCTGATCGGTGTATAAGGCTAGTTTTGAATATAAGCAGTTAGCAGAAACACTTTTTTTTCACTCTGAATGACTTTGTTCACATCTCAACCACTGAATTACGTAAAAGTAAAAAACTGATAAAAACTCCTCTTTTATCAGCTGTGACACTGATGTTTCAGATCTGGTTGTCCCTAAGAATAACACTCATTTCACGTCAGGCTTTAGAGATGCTTTCCCTCCTGCGTGAAATAAAGCAGAGAAAGTGCAGTCGGCTGTCGGGAAGCTGCTCCTCGGAGTGCAGAGTGATGAGAGCAGTCATGCTGGGTGTTAAGAGGACGAGAGCCGGAGAGCGCAGTGACTGACAGAGAAAGTCTCAGCGGTGAGCAGGAGACGATGAGAGAAAGGTGCACAGGCCGGGCCAAGAATTCCGCACTGGACATTCCAACGTAAAGAGGTGATCAGGGGCTGAAAGAAAGCGCCATAACCACTCAGCATAAAAGACACAGTGACTGAAAGGTGAACTGACCAATCGCTGACCCTCCTTCCGACATTCCGGCCATAGTGCGGCACTCTCCGAGGGCGCCCAGCTGTTTGACCCTTCACTGACCCAGAAGATGACAGTGGGCTTGAGTTACAGAAGCAGCCGGTGGGGGGGGTGGGCCTGTTGGCTCTCTGAATAGCCGTCTGGCGATGACGGACAGATGGGGAAAGTCATGCCAGCAATTCCTGCAGTCCGAGCTTTATTCTCTGTTGGGCTGCTGCCGGCCACTGCTCTCTGGGCCATTACAATATTAATGAACTCATTTATAGAGAGAGAAATGAGTGTGGACAGTGCTTCTGGACATGAATGAGAGTGGCACTGAGAACACTTGGTGAGCCATGGGTCATGCATTGAGGGACCGCTGGCTTGGGCAGTGCTGCTGGCAGCATGAGACTGACAGACAGAGCAGATCAGCAGATGATAAAATGGCTTTTGGGAACTTCTAGAAATGGAGGAATTAAACCAGTTTCTCAGAAGATGATGAGATGTAAACGAAGTCATTCAGAGTGGTTTGATGTGAAATGGGTCATTGTAGAGAACCTTTCCATCTCAGATTTCTTTACAGATGCAAATATAACCATTTTATTTATTTATCCAAACCACCACCTTTCATTTACAGTCAAACCCGCCATTAAGTACAAGTTATTCATTTTTCAGAAAAACATTTCTGAGGACATTAGATATAAAATAACAATCCACTTGCATTAGAAAGCAGAAAATCAAAGGAAACTAAATAAAAACAGAAGTTTCAAAACTGGAGTTAAAAAAAAACTACTAAAATATGACTCCTAACAACCACCTGGAAGACCTGTTAGACCACCAAAACTGCCCCCATCAGATAAACAGCTCTTAAAGCTTTCATCTCTGAGAGAGAGGAGAAAATCAAGCTGCTTCAGATCTGAAAACATCCACAGGTGTTTCTGTCCATCCTTCCACTGTGAGAAGACAACTCAGCGCTGTGGGTCTGAAAGGATGTGTAGCTGTCAAGAAGAACCTCACTGAGAAAAGGAGACGGACACATCAAACAAAGAAGCTGAACGATGGACTGACCACCCCAGAGTCCAGACCTCGACACCACTGAATGTGTTTGATTACTACAGAAAATGATCAACCAGCTTCTAAGACTGAACTTTGGAGGTGTGTCTGCAGATTCTTTGAGGAACTGGAACTGAGTCTCCTGAAAAGAATGGAAGCTGTAATAAAGGTAAAGAGTGACTCACTAAATACTAAAAAAAATAGATATTGAGGCTTCTGTGTAATAATTATGCAATTTTCTAATGCTGAAAATGAAAGTGGAATTCCACCGGTTTTTCAAATTTCTGCATAATTCAGTGGTTGAGGTGTAAACAAAGTCATTCAGAGTGGTTTTATGCGAAATGGTTAATTTGCAGAGAAACATACAGACTCTTTACAGTGGTGGTGATAGGAACCAGGGGTCACAATGTCTACGATGCAAACATAGCCATTTTATTTACTATCCAAAACCACCAGTGAACCTACTCGTGTCTTCTGAGTTGTGTATGTTTAAGCTGTGATGTTAATGATGGTAAAATAGCGGAAAAATTAAGCTTTCTTCAGGGACTATTTTGCCTTCATGTATCTCTCCACCTTTATGTATCTCTCCACCATGAATAGATTAAAATAAATGGATTCAAATAGATATTTAGACCAAAACTTTATCCCAAAACTACTGTAAAATGATGTCTCAGACATCAGGCAGTGCATTCAAAACCATTTCATGTAATACTTTGATGTGAGGGAGCTTTTAGAGGCATTAAATTCTTCAGATGTCTGGTTCCTATCACCACCACTGTGAACAATTCTGATTCTTTAAGTTTCTCCAAAATTGATGATTTCACACCAAACCACTCTGAATGACTTTGTTTACATCTTAACCATTTAATTATTTAGAGCTTTTAAAAATGGGTGGAGTTGCCCTTTAAATAAATTGAGAATGGTCTCTTAACTTTTGCACATTGATATAATATTGATGATGAAAAAATAGTGGTAAATCTGAAATAAGTTTTCTTTGGCTACTATCTTCCCCTATAATGCCCTGCATGTACCGTTGCACTGTGGATTGATTTAAAAATCAAATTTTAGGCATCAGGCATCAGGCATCATAACCATTTTATGTAATAATTTTCTGTGAGGGAGCTTTTAGAGGCATTAAACTCGGACATTAGTCATTGAATAGGACAAAAACGTGAATAGGGCATCCCAAGTTATTCCCCTAATCCTAACCATTAAACCCCAAACCTGCCAAATCACCAATTACAGACAATATGTCCTAATATTCTCTTTGTATCTTTCCTGATCCTCAGCGTGTGAACAGATTTACACCCGGATCGGGTTACCGAAAGGCTTTCTTACACGGGCCGATTACATGTTCCCTTGAGCTCTGGACCCTTCAGCAGCTTTTGTGGTTAAGCATGAATCCTGATCTTAATTACCTGTCACACTGAAGCTGCCTGAAACTTGTCCGAAACTGCAAAGGGGGTGTCAGCTCTCGGACGGCCATAGCATGTACTGTGGAACGCTGAGTTCTATTCAGAGTTAAACTAGGTACAACGTGGGCCATGCTACCTTACTCGTTTTACACTCAATTAAAATTTCTATAACATGATAAACCAAGGCCGAACACATTACCAGTAGGAACGTGTTCACACAGAGCAGGCCCCATCCGCTATAAGTAACAAGAAGACCATAATGTATACAGTAAATGGACAGACTAACAGCCTAAAGCTTACTGACCTGAAACATTAGCCACCAGTTAACAGCAGGAGTGAACTAAACTATGCGCACTTGGAGCTCCATCATCAATCAAAGTCATTGGAAATAACAGAGTTGCTAATTAAGGGGCATTCCGGCCCTAAACTAGCTTTTTTTAACGCTGTCGTGTTACACAGTATACTGTAGTGCAGCTGCTCAGCCTCAATGTGTGGTAGAATTCTCAATTTTATATTGTTTTTACTAGGGATGCACAACAATATCGAAACTATAACAGTATCAGCAGATACTTGTGGAAAAGTAAAATATTGATGTTGGACAGATGTTTAGATTGACCAATATTTGATTGCCCTCATATTTTGTACTCTGGAGGAGCAAAATATTCAAGTGATCCTTGAATATCAGAGGGATCATTGCATTGTATCTTCACACATAGTCTTCCTGTACTTGCTGACCTCAGGAAACGTCAGTTGGTTTTCTTTTCTGTTTTCTTTTGTATTACATTTCTAAAGCTTCTGGGTGGCTTTTCACTGACATCTCAGCCTCTGTGGATTGTACAGTATCATACACCCTCAAATTACCATTTTAATTTATTAAACCAAAATATGTGCATTTTATTAATTTTACTGCATATATAACCCTATAGAAATAAATGTGATATTTCTCCATAATGCTAATCCAGATGAAGTTCCAATTACTACATAATATACATGAAAAATATTGGATATTGCCAGTGGCCCACAATGTTTGAAGTTCTTTCACTACAATACCCAGCATGCATTATGCATACATCATACGACCACTGGGAATCTCTGCAGTGATCAACCACTCCTGACTGCTAGCCTAGCCACTGAGCTATAGGCTAATAAATACACCTAAGCTAGCATGAAGAAGGCCTGGATGAATGTGACAAATGGTAAAGCCAGAGAAACTGGCTAGCATAGTGGATAACACTCTTGCGCCAGAGAGGCTTTTATTATCCTTTCATGCAGAGAAAAGCAGTCAGACTGAGGAAAGGTAACTAGATAGCAAGGTGGCCACATTGCTAACTTTAGCATTTAGCAAAACAAAGTAATTTCTGTTTGAGTAAACAATTTTTGCTAATGTAATAATGATTTAAAGGTAGTCACATACAAGTAAATATGTATAAAATTAGATATTTAGCTTCCAAGCAGGAATGTTAGCAATCTCCCTTCATTAGCTGATGAAAAAAAGAACATTTTACAGCCCCTCCCCAAAAATCCACCCTAAAGCAGCTGCAGTTTTTCAGACGATCCTCCCACTTTTAACATATATCATTAGAGGGCGGTTTTCCAAATCGTTAAACTGAGAGATTTTGCCTTAGTAAGATATAGTAAGAGTTACGTCGTCTAATTTGGCTAATTAGCTACTTTGCTTGCTAGTTAGCCAAACTTCTTGGCTACATTAGGCTGACATGAAAAAATACACTCACAAAAATGTCTACAAAGCAAACCTTCAATTGTTCCTTATCTGTTCTTTTTACAAATTAGTTGTTTTTGTTACCGGTTAGCTTAGCTTAATCCTAGTTGTGCTGCACTCACAAATGTAGAATCAAACAAAGCTCACATTTTTTCTGTCAAGGATGAAAATACTAGCAAAACAGTGCGACGCTGTCATTAGCTTCCTAACCAGCTTATAGCTTCTTAGTGGACTTTTTATAAAGCAGGAATTCTAAAAATAGCAATCGCCAAATCGACATAGTATTTTAATTTACACTCTGGAGCACTTACTTGTCATGTAGTAGTGCTTGGTCTCTTTATCCTCGAATGGAAGAGTAAAATTTTGTTTTACCGACTTATTTACAACAGATATAGGAAGAGTTTTTGCCTTACATGCATGTTTACAACAGATATAGTAAAAGTTGCATCTTTTATTTTGGCTGCCACAAATAATTAACATACATATTACCAGCTTTAATGCAAGGGTCTTCTATACTGGGTAAATCATATAAAGATCATAGCCCCTTCTACAAGTATCTGCTGTTTCATGGCCAGATGTGCACTGTCGCATCATTACTTCATGTACAAGACTATCAAAAAGGTCTATAGTGCTTTCTAGAGGTGGCACTGATATCTGGATCCTGTTCTTGCTCTCTCTTAAAATAAGGACCAAAACAATCAACCACCATGAAGCTGGAAAGAATCTGAATATGTCAATCAGAGACAGCTAAAATATTAGGTCACCATTCACAATTCTGCACATTTGGAAGAAGCAAGAACAATACATGACATGCCATGGGAGACTACAATAATGAATGGCTGAAGAATCCTTAAGAAAAAACCTGTTGAGATCAAAAACAATGTCCAGACGTAGGCCTAGATGTGTCAAAGAAGACTCAGAATAGAAGAAAAACATCAGCAGATGGTTCAGTACCGGATTCAAGACAGTGGCAAACCTCAAGAGCAGGAAAGGCCAAACAGCCCAGAGTTTGCTAAAAGGTCATAATAAAACCTCCTGCAGAGCTCTTGAACAAAGTCTCAACGACAGACACGCTGAGCATCATGATGGAATGAGTGTTGGAGAACATAAGGAACAAGCTGACGAAGAAAAATGTACCAGATTGATGGAATGCGGAAAGTTTGAAGAAGAAAGCAAACCACCTCATCTGTCAAACCTGGTAGCATAGGCATATTCATGGATGCCAGAGGATTTGGAGGACTGTTTTTATTAATGATGTGACAGCAGACAGCAGGATGAGTTCTTAAGCGCACTGAAGCATCTACTTAGTTCCAATATGGTGCTTCAAAACTCTGTGGATGAGTTCTAGGTTCTGGGTCTATGTTTTCTGCCTGCTTAGGAGCTACAACAGCAACTGAATTGCCTTTTATGCCACTGTAGTAGTACAAGTCTATGTCTAATTTGGCTAATAAACCACTTTGCTTGCTAGTTAGCTAAATTTCTTGGCTACATTAGGTTGACATGAAAAGACATACTGTGCGCACACACAATGTCTACATTTACACAGACTCAAGCAAACCTTCATTTTTTCCTTTTCTTTTCTTTTTCACACATTAGCTGTTTTTCTTACCAGTTAGCTTAGCTTAATACTAGTTGTGCTGCACTCACAAATACACAGAATCATGCATAGAATCAAAGAAAGCTCTGCTTTTTTCTATTAAGGGTGAAAATACTATCAAAACAATGGATGCTAACATAAATGTTACTACCGGTAGCATTAGCTTCCTAACTAGCTTATAATATCTTAGAAGAGTCTTTACAAAGTAGGAATGATAAAAATAGCAATCGCCACATCGACATAGCATTTTAATTCACACTCTGGAGAACTAATTTGTCATGTAGTAGTGCTTGGTGTCTTCATCCTCGAATGGAAGAGTAAAAATTTGCTAAATTGACGTTTGCTTCAGCTGCAAGTGCTACCAAAGACTGAGGAGAGTATCCTCAAGTACCATTAGGTCCTGTCAGTACCAGTCCCCTGATAGTAAGAGGATAGTGGGTCACTGTTGGCCCACCAATGGCAAAGCTAGAGGCCCACTAGCATTTTGTTCAGTGTTTTCTGGGCAGCCCACTCAAGGTTAAGCATAGTAATGGGCAAAATTCCACTTTTCATCACTCATTTTTCACTCACAGTCCAATTTACTGATTTTTTCCTTCCTTCCTTTTTTTCTAGATATACTTTGTAAAGTAGTTTATTAAATCATTTTAATCTAGCACAGTGTCAGCAACAACATTGTCTATAAAATAATTTTATTTAGTCATTTTTTTCTCTAAGTTGTTTGAAATGTTTGTCTTAGTGTATTTTCTAAAATAAAAGTCTGTGTGCATTTAAAATCCCTTTAGAGGAGATTAAGAACTAGTTAGAGCTTGTATGCAGGACAGTAATCTGGGTGGTCCGAGGGTGGACCAGCAGTGGCAAACAGTTAGCGGGATGCCGACCTTATCAAGCCAGCAGCCCGAGATATGCTTGCTATCTGGGTCTTGAGTAGGTACCAAAACCCATAAAACCGAAAAACAATTCTAGTTCCTGTTCTGATACTTAGTGCAGGAGAGCGAACTGAAATATAGTGCTTAAGTGACAACAGCTTTTTAAGACCAATAAATGAAGTGTTTCTAGTCGTGTCAATTTCCCATCTTCCCACTAAACCCTGAAATAACCCCTTAACCTCTAAAGGTCATAGTTTCACAGAAGTACTGAATCATAAGTCTTAAGATTAGATAGTGAATCATAAATCTTAAGATGTATATCTAAATAATAAGCCTTGGGTTGAAGGGGTTCAAACTACAATTGTGTCAATGCACTGTAGTGTTAATGATTCTAGTAAGTTGGAATTATATTTCAAAAATGTATTACACCCATAAATCTACTGGTTTTTGTTGGCAGTTTCAGGGTTCCTAATCTAATCCTAGCAAAATCCAGTAAGGAAAAAAATACGGGTGCTGGTGTTACCTTCTTCTGGTCCGCTGGGAGCTGACAGTCAGTGAGGCTCGACCAAAGCAGGGCCATAACCATGGCGACACTGTGAACAAAAGACCCCAGCCTTTACTGAGCCGACTTTTCCCAGAGCCCAACACATGGAACGCAATTGTGTACAAACAGCAAGATGCTGGATTTACAGGGGGAACTTCAGACCCACTTTATAAAAAAAGATATCCTATTAATCTCATCATATTTATAAACCATGTCAATGGCTGTGTTCAAATTATGCATGACATCGTGACCTATGTGTGCAGCTATGTACAGTAACGAGAATTTCAAACTAGAGCACCAGCCAAACACAGAGTGCAACAAGTAGAAGTGCTTCATGGCTATCAGCAGGGATGGGTGATATGCTGATATAATCTCATTACGACATCAACATATATTTTTATTTTTTACCAATTTTTGCTCCTACTTAAAGCTGCACTATGTATGTTTTGGGGATTTGGTGACCTCTCTGGTGGAAATGTGTAATTGCATGTGACATGTGGAAGAACAATTTGTAGAGTGGGTTGTGTTTCAGCCCCCTTCCCCGAATAGATGAATCTGAAGATTGAAAAAGAATTCAAAGAGAAAGATGTGTCTTCTGAGGATGTGAGTGAATTAACTACTGTCGTCATCATATGTTCATCAGTAAAACAATGATTTTGCATTTAAGACCTAAACATCGAGACACACCTTATTTTTGAGCCTGTGTTTTTGACGTTAATACATACGTACAACGTGATCCATTTATATCTCGTTTTTCTGACAAGTTGGAATGACAAAAAGCACCAGTTATACCACATTTTAAAAATAGTATCCTATTTATGAACACAATGATTTTTATTCAACATGCCGTGCTACACTAAATCCAATTAAACAGGACTAATTATGCTCCCTGTGTAGTGAAACATGCAGTTGGCCAGTGTTCTCTAAGTATTATTGATATCCACAATATATTCCGAAAAGCATATTGTGAGGATATGTGATACAATTTATTACAATAATGATAAATATATTGTCATATTGCCCACGCCATATTACAGTATTATCGACTTTACAGAAACACTCATCTTGTCAAGAGAAATTATCTTAAATCTAGTAAATACATTGAATATTTCTCATTTTGAGATTGTTGTAAGATTATTATAAGATTATTTAACCTGTTTCTAGATTTTACGGATTTGAAGTCATTTAATTAAGTAAAATGATTTCACTATATTAGCAAATAATTTTGCTTATTTTAAGAAATATGCTAGAAGCCAGCAACATTATCCGCCAACATAGTGAGATCAATATAGTAAATATTATAAAACAAGTAAATTAATCTAAAAATAAGTTAAATTACAGTTCTAATATTCCTACAACCATCTAAATATGATAAATATTAGATATTTAGATTTTACATTTAAAATATTTTCACCTGTTTACATATCATTTTTTGCAAAGTAGGTCTGAAGGCAGCCCTGATAAATCACTGTTTCCAAATCAGCTCATCGTATCAGGCCTCTTACCTCACACTCGAGACTCTGCTCATGCTGGAGAGAAAGTGGGCGGCTCTACCTGGAAAAACAGAAGGCAGGTGTGTCATATTTACAGACATCAATCAAGTTCAACAGAGGCCAAAAGACAAGGCTCATGTTTACAGATCCACATTTAGCATTTAGCTTAGCACTGAATGAGCATCTGCTACAGTCCTCAAACACTGGCATTTGTCCTCTAACACTGTGGCACAGAATGACCAGCAGCTCTTACTTTGGTCACTGACCCAGGACTGCCTGGCCCTATTAAAACCCCTTTCACTGAAATACAACACCAAGATCAAACAGTTCAGTCTGTGCTGCTAATTTCTCCTTAGGGACCATTTAAATCACTCACATGGCTCCTCTTTGCTTACTTTCCAGTGATTCCATTGCTTTGAGCATCCACAGGCCAAACAGTGGACGGTGGATATAATTTGTCAGGATCTAATAGGGTGATCGGTTCAGGATAAAATGCCACAAACAGCCTGGTTGGTTACATCAGAGCTACTCCACAGGACACACTCAATAACAATGACAACACAGCCATGACTATCAGCAGGTCCTGACTGTTAAAACTACACACTGCAGATTCATACTGGATTAAAATCACTCCACAATTATTACTGTCAGACTGTAAAACTACACACTGCAGATTTATACTGGATTAAAATCACTCCACAATTATTACTGTCAGACTGTAAAACTACACACTGCAGATTTATACTGGATTAAAATCTCTCCACAATTATTACCGTCAGACTGTAAAACTACACACACTGCAGATTCACACTGGATTAAAATCACTCCACAATTATTACTGTCAGACTGTAAAACTACACACACTGCAGATTCATACTGGATTAAAATCGCTCCACAATTATTACCGTCAGACTGTAAAACTACACACTGCAGATTCATACTGGATTAAAATCGCTCCACAATTATTACCGTCAGACTGTAAAACTACACACTGCAGATTCATACTGGATTAAAATCACTCCACAATTATTACTGTCAGACTGTAAAACTACACACACTGCAGATTCATACTGGATTAAAATCACAGATCACAGAACCTCACCAAACCAACCTGGCTTTATAGAATGAAATGAACATTTATTATATATGATGGGATAAAAGGTAAACGTTGATCACTGAGGCTACAGAGAAGACAAAGGACAATCTTCAGTGTTGACAGCGTCGACTTCAGTGTCAACTTCCAATCCAGTTTTCAAACTGCACTTCCAAAAAATGGGGGACTATGCTGTCTCCCTTTAGTCCACCTGCACTGCACAGTTTCATGTTTTCCTCCACCTGAGTCACATCATTAGCTAATGATCATGTAGAATCAGGTGTGATAGTAGAAGAGTGAGTGATGGAGAATAAATGAATAAATAAGTAAATATCAAGATGTTTCAAGAGATTTTCATGTAGCATGATATGTAGCATAATATTTACCTTTTCGGAGGTTTGCAAATAAGTTGGATTGGATAAACTGCAAAATCCAATCAGCTTTTCTATATGTGCAGAACAACATGAAGTAGTTCTGCACAGGTGGACTGCAGGACCGGAACCGGAAAAAACTGGAGTACGGCATAGAACAGATGCTACAAATGATGTATCTGCTGTCCTGTGCCAGTAATACTTTAAGGGAGTTTTTCAGTACTATTCCTATGGAAAAGCACAAACAGCACACTGCAGTTGGGAAGCTGCTGTAGAGTTTTTCCCTCTGAATGAACTCCGCAGGATCAGTCTGATCAGGATCAGCTCCGGCAGGAAAGCTGTTACAACACACTGGGCATGAAGACAGGAGTCGTAAATTTAAGGCTGTGAAGGTGTCAGAGTATCGTGGCACAACAGGAACAGGCTGAAGACGAGGAAAAGACTTCTTGCTGCGCTTGCTGTCATGCCTCTTAGCAAAAAATATGACTTAAAGGGGAATGCCACCAAATTTCTAAAAATTCTGCATAATACAGTGCTTGAGATGTAAACATAGTCATCCAGAGCTGTTTAATGTGTAATGTTTCATTCCTCAAATTTCTCTACAGTGGTGGTGATGGGAACCAGGGGTCGCCATGACTACAACACAAATATAGCCATTTTATTTACTATCCAAACCACCAGTGAACCTCCACGAGTCTTTTTAGTTTTATATGGAATGTTGATGTTGGTGAAGTAGTCATAAATCTGGAAAAAATGGGGACTATGTTGTCTTACAGCACCCTGCATGTACCCTTGGGCTGAATGATTTTGGCAAAATTTCAAATTGTGATTTTTCTGACCAATATTGTGTTTACGATTTAAATTGCAGTTGTTTAGAATTGAGATACAAATTGAGGTATGGGCCTTTTTTTGGCTATGAAGACCAGCATATATTTTTCTGGCTTGACCCTTGAACTGTTAACACAGTGTCCCAGCCTGCTAGTTACTTGTGGTTGTGATGTCAAAGCAGTTCACAAATTATAGGTTTTTTGAAAAAATCTATGCCCATTTTTAATTTGATGGCAGCAACACGTTCCAAAAAAGTTGGGATGGGGCATGTTTAGCACTGTGTTTCATCACCTCTTCTATTAACAACACTCTGTAAGCGTTTGGGAACTCAGGAGACCGACTGCCAGTTTTGAAAGTGAAATGTTTTCTCATTCTTACTTGATGTAGGATTTCAGCTGCTCAACAGTTCAGGGTCTCCTTTGTCGTATTTCACATCTCATAATGTGCCCAATGTTATAAGTGGTGACAGGTTTGGACTGCAGGCAATTCAGTTTAGCACCCAGACTGTTTTACTATGGAGCAATGCTGTTGTAATACGTGCAGAATGTGGTTTCACATTGTCTTGCTGAAATAATCAAGGCTGAAAAAGACGTCGTCTGGATGGCAGCATATGTTGCCAAAACCTGTAAATATCATTCAGCATTAACAGTGCCTTCACAGATGTGCCAGTCACCCATGCCATGTGCACTAATGCCCCCCCATACCATCACGGATGCTGGCTTTTGAGCTGTGTCCATCTCAAATGGGCCCAGAGAAGGCAGCGGTGTTTCTGGGTCCTGTTTGTATATGATTTCTTCTTTGCATAGTAGAGTTTTAAATTGCATTTGTCGCAGTGATGAACTGTTTTCACAGACAGTGGTTTTCAGAAGTGTTCCTGAGCTCATGCAGTGATTTCCACTACAGAATCATGTCTGTTTTTAATGCAGTGCCGCCTGAGGGCCCAAAGATCTTGGCTAGCCAGTACTGGTTTTCAGCCTTGTCCCTTGCATACAGAGTTTTCTCCAGATTCTCTGTATCTCTTAATGATAGTATGTACCATAAATAATGAAATGCCCAAGTTATTTGCTATTTTACGTTTAGAAACATGATTCTTGAATTGTTGCACTATTTGCCCAAACAGTCTTTCACAGAGTGGTGAACCCCTCCTCATCTTTACTTCTGAAAGACTCCGCCTCTCTGTGATGCTCTTTTATACCTAGTGATGTTACTGACCTGTTGCCAATTAACCTTCAGCTGTTTTTTTTTAGCATTACACAACTTTACCGGTCTTTTGTTGCAACCGTCCCAACTTTTTTGGAATGTGTTGCTGCCATCAAGTTCAAATGGTCATATATTTTTCAAAAACAATAAAATTTCTCAGTTTAAAAATTCAATATGTTGTTTTTGTGCTATTTTCAATGAAATATGGGGTTTAAATGATTTGTACAGCATTTTGTTTTCATTTACATTTTGCATATATATATATATATATATATATATACACACTTACAAAAAGAAGATTCTTCAAGGGTTCTTGAGTGAAGGAAATGGTTCTACTTAGAACCATGAGTTCTATATACTCCATTTGCATACTTAAATGGTTCTTTGCATGGTGAAATGGTTCTTCAGATGGATGGAAATTGTGTTGTATATGATTCTGTATAGAACCTTAGATGTCAAGCTTGTAACAATAGAAGAACCCTTTTTGGTGCTATCTAGAATCATTTAAAAGGTTCTATATAGAACCATTTATATAAAATCTGAAATGTGATGTCATGAAAAAACATTTCACCATGCAAAGAACCATGTAAGCATGGAAAAGTTCTATATAGAACCCATGGTTCTAAAGAGAACCATTCACTTTACTAAAGAACTTCACCATGAAGTTAATTTCACTTATTGTCACCATGCAAAGAACCATTTAAGCATGGAAAGTTCTATATAGAACCCATGGTTCTAAAGAGAACCATTCACTTTACTAAAAAACTTCACCATGAAGTTAATTTCACTTATTGTCACCATGCAAAGAACCATTTAAGCATGGAAAGGTTCTATATACAATCCATGGTTCTAAAGAGAACCATTCACTTTATTAAATAACTTCATGAAGTGAATTTCACTGAATTTACCATGCAAATAACCATTAATGCATTAGAAGGTTCTACATGGAACCCATGGTTCTAAATAGAACCATTCCTTTTACTAAAGAGCTTCACCATAAAGTGAATTTCACTGAATTTCACCATGCAAAGAACCATTTAAGCATGGAAAGGTTCTATACAGAACACATGTTCTAAAGAGAACCACTTCCTTTACTAAAGAACGTCGTGAAGTGAGTTTCGCTGAATTTCATCATGCAAATAACCATTTATGCCTGGAAAGGTTCTACATAGAACACACGGTTCTAAATAAGTTTACTAAGGAACTTTTGAAGAATCGTCTCTTTATAAGAGTGTATAACTAAAGATCTGATTGGCTGACTGGCTGACCGGGTGTAAAGTCCTGATCTATGTCCACAGGTGGTCACTTTTCAGACGCTTTTATCCAAACTGACTTACAAGCGCAGTAATGACGCGCCAGCCAGCCGAGCAGCTCGAGCCCACCGCGATACAGGAGCCGCACGAGACTTTTCAGCTCAGCAGCAGCGCAGCTGGACCAGGTCAGAGGACCCTCTGCTGCAGGACAGCGCCGTGCGTGCCTTTTATGCTGTAGTAAGAGAACAGGGGGGTCGTTTATGGTCAGTTTTGCCCCCAAATCTTCCTTACCGTGCCTTTGGTCCCCGCGCGCGCTCCTCCGGTGCTAATGGAGAGGATGTTCATTTAGTCCCGAGCGGCTTAAAGCGAGGGAGAGCCAGGAAGTCCAGCAGCTGCTCAGCTCCTCCATACTTTACTGAGAGCGTTCATCAGAACAGCAGAGCCACAGACCCTCACAGAGAACTGAGAGAGAGAGAGAGAGAGAGAGAGAGAGAGAGAGAGAGAGAGAGAGAGAAGAGAGAGAGAGAGAGAGAGAGAGAGAGAGTGAGAGTGGGTGAGAGAGGGGCTGGAGGGGAAAGTGCGCCACCTGCTGGAGGAGAGAGAGAGAATAAAAGAGGGATGGAAAGAGTGAGAATAAGAGAAAGAATAGAAGAGAGGGAACGAGAGAGAGAATGAGAGAGGGAATAAGAATAAGAGAGAATGAGAGAGAATAAGAGAGGGAATTGGAATGAGAGAGAGAATGAGAAAGAATGAGAGAGTAAGAGAATGAGAGAGAACAAGAGAGAATGAGAGAGAATAAGAGAGGGAATAAGAATGAGAGAGAATGAGAAAGAATGATAGAGAGAGTAAGAGAATGAGAAAGAACAAGAGAGAATGAGAGAGAGAATAAGAGAGAATGAGAGAAAGAATGAGAGAATAAGAGAATGAGAAAGAAAGAAAGAAGAAAAGAGAGATAAAGAGAGAGAGAGTGAGAGAGAAACACAGAGAGAGAGATAGAGAGAGAGAGAGAGAGAAAGGAGAGAGAGAGAGAGAGAGAGAGAGAGAGAAAGGAGAGAGAGAGAGAGAGAGAGAGAGAGAGAGAGAAACACACAGAGAGAGAGAGAGAGAGAGGGAGGGAGAGAGAGAGAGAGAGAAAGGAGAGAGAGAGAGAGTGAGAGAGAAACACACACAGAGAGAGAGAGAGAGGGAGGGAGAGGAAGATAAATTCAGTTTATTCTGTTCTGTTAGTGACGCTGTCTGTACTGTGTCGTCACTAATCCGGCTTCTCTTTGTGAATTTAGCATTTCAGATTTTTTTCTTAGACCAAAAGGATCCAAAAGAGAAGAACAGCACACAAACATCAGTACCTGACCTCACGTATGTCCATGTATGTGTACAGTATATGTACCTGTGTGTGTGTGAGAGAGAATGAGAGCGTGACTGCTTCACTGAATGGTCGGTCGCAGTGGAATCTGAAACATTCTCAGCTTTTTTGTCTCATGGAACAGAAACCGGAGTCTGTAATTAATGTAAACATTTACAGCAAGTCTGACTGAATGGATTATTCCTATTATAGAGAAGTGGAGCAAAAAAACAGCTGCTTTGTTTCTGATGTCAGCTGGTAAACAAGGTGGCAGGGTTTTAATACCTTCACTCAGCACAGCCTGCCTGCACTCAGACCTGCACATCACCACAATGAGACCTTCTACAGGGATAAACAACAGCTGCGTCCAAAATGAAACCAAAAAAAAACAGCCTATAGAGAGTCTGTAGGCCAAGATGAAACAGAACGACAGCTATTAACATAAAATACAACACCGTCTTGAGAAGTATGACTAACTTTTGTGAAAAATAATCCAGCCTTTTCTCCAAACTATAAGCTGTATTATCACACCACAAACACACAACATTAAAACACAATAAAACCATTTAATAATGCCCACAAACCTATGAAGGTGAAAGATACCTGTTCAACTTGCATGTAGAACATGCACTATATGGACAAAAGTATTGGGACACCTACACGTTACACCCACAGGAGCTTTTATGACATCCCATTCTAAATCCATAGGCATTAATATGGAGTTGGTCCCCCTTTGCAGCTGTAACAGCTTCCACTCTTCTGGAAAGCTTTCTATAGGTGTTGGATGGGGTTGAGGTCAGGGTTCTGTGAGGGCCAGTCAAGTTCTTCCACACCAAACTCACCCAGTCAGGCCTTTATGGACCTTGCTTTGTGCACTGGGGCTCAGTAAAGCTGGAACAGAAAAGGTTCTTCCCCAAACTGTTCCCACAAAGTTAGAAGCATACAGTTGTCCAAAAGGTCTCCATTTGCTGAAGCATTAAGATTCCCCTTCACTGGAACTAAGAGGCCTGAAAAACAACCCCATATCATCATCCCTCCTCCACCAAACTTCACAGCTGGCACAATGTAGTCAGGCAGGCAACGTTCTTCTAGGAATTCGCCAAACCCAGACTCGTCCATCAGACCGACAGATAGAGAAGCTGATTCGTCACTCTACAGAATGTGTTTCCACTGCTCCAGTGTCCAGTGGTGGCGCTTTCCACCACTCCAGCCGTGATGTAATTTACCACGTCAACAATAAATATGATCGTATCGCCCAGCCCTATGAAGATCCTCAATGGTGTTGAGGTTTAGTGTTTGATTTGTCATTAAAGTAAAGTTTTGTCTCATATATTTTTGAACAATAGGTTCATTTTTCACAACCACGTAAGTAAAAACAGTTTTGGTAGCGGCCTCAGACTTTTGGGGAGAACAATAATGTGACGTGTCTATAAAAGTAGTGGTGAAGAAAATGAACACCACCACTGATTGACTCCTGCTTGCTTTCACAAGTACTTCACCTTGTCTTCAGTCTGTGTACGTGTTTTCATCCTTCACAAGGAGTCAGAATTGGCCCCAGGGTTTTTCCAGTGCCGCTATCATGGGATTTGCTGGATTAGAGCTACGGCACTTTGACAGCAGCATTTAGCATCGCGTGACAGTTTCCGTGGCTAAGCGATATTAATTAAACTGTACTGATGACAGACATTAGGCAGGGCTGGAGTTTCACATACACCGGACTGACGGCTGCACAGTCGAATCTAAGGCAGGTCTGCACTCTCAGAAAGAAAGGTACGAGACCGTCACTGGGGTGGTCCCCTCAAGGGTCCATCTCAGTACCTTTAGTCAGGGAACATAACTGAACCATAATCCACTGAATGATATGTTCTAAGCTGTACTGACTCCACACACCCCGTCTCGTCTCCAGGACTTTATTTTACTGTTCTGTTTAAAACATTTGGTTATGAAAAGGTACAAATACGAACTTTTCACCTGGAAACACTTATTTAAGGTTCACAATCAGACCTTAAAACTGCTGTTGTACCTTAAAGGGAACATTTCCATTGTCTGTTCCTTGATGAATGAAAAATGTACCTGAACTGTAGCTTTATTTCTAAAAGTGTGTCCAATATTATTCCAATATTCTGAGATTAAACTTTGCAGATTCATTGACTACTTTTTGCTGTTACTTTTCAATCATGTAAGAAAAATTAACAAAAGGATGGAAAATAATAAGAAAAAACAACCATCCTTGAGACTGTGGTCAGAAACTGACCACTGATGAAGGCCTAGAGGACTGTGCATCAGCAGATGGGCTACAGTCTCTAAGTGTACACCAGCAGGGTGGAGCTACAAGGGAGGGGTTTTCTAATAAAGTGTCAAGTGAGTGAACACAGTGTGTAGAAACTCCACCATCCAAATGTTATCTGGTCAGCGGTGGTCCAATGGTGGTCCCTTTTCGTTGATGAACGGGTTGGCAGGGCAAGAGCAATGCAATACCTAGAGGAACTAAAATGTGGCCTTTGTCTGGAGATTATGCTGCACAATTTCTACTTATTTGCTCAGTTTGACAGACCAGGATGTGCTATAACCTTTGCACAGGTCACATTTTAGGTTTTATATGTTGAATTCATTAAATAGACAGTAATTGTGTATTAAATTGTGCAGATTCTGAAAATCAACACGTTATTTGACCAGAAACGCCCAAACTTTTGCATTTGACCCAAACTTTTGCATATGACTGTATGTGGTGGGTGTAGGTAAAAGGCAGGCAAATGTATCAGGCAAAATAAACTGCAAATCAACTTAAGCCTGAACTGCCTCAATTTACCAAAAGGGGAGGTCCACCAGTTTTTCAAAATTTCTGAATAATTCAGTCTATGAGGTGTAATGGTTGATTGTAGAGTCTCAGATTTCTTTATAGTGGTGGTGACAGGAACCAGGGGTCACCATGTCTACAACACAAATATAGTTGGTATTTAAAAATGGTACCCAAAAACCACCAAAATTGTACTCAAATCTAAAACCACCAGTAAATATATATATATATCCTTTTTTGTCGCTTTTTTCACACAATTTTTTCACACAATTTGAAAAGGCCTGTTGCCCTTTACATTGTGTGTACATTTCACGATGAATGGAACAAAAGAAATTACTTGGAAAAAAGTCTGGTTCTATTGATTTACATTAAAAATAAAGAATATATTTTTTTCCTTTTCCTGTCCAGTCAGTCTATAAAGCATTTCACAGCTCATCTTGTTGGCTGAAGCATAACCTGTTCATTTCTGGCTAATTCCAGTGTGTTTAGTTGTTCTGCTACAGGTGCTGGCCAAAAAGTTTCCTTAGGGGTAACGACAGGTTCAGCCTGCTGTCACACTCTTCTTCACAATCTGACAAATTATCTTATAAAGGTATCTTATCTTTTCATTTTCTGTTTATGTGCTAAAGTTGAAATTAGTAATGGTTAGCTGCTAAGCTAACTTAGCAACCACTGGTCAGATATGATCAGAGACATTATAAAGGACGAGGAGACGGTCACTGGTTGAAATATGAAGGGGCGAGCTTGTAACGCTTAACATGGCGTCTGTTTACGGGGAAAGCCTCACTCTTGAGGAAAAAAGAACTAGCCAGCTTGCTGGTGATGCTGCGAGGAGCGAAAGCCCCCCTTGTTTTTGAGCTTTGCGGAAACACAGTTTTTGTCAAATTTTATCAGTGATTTCAAATGTTTTTGAAATGGTAATTTGACCTTCAGTTTCGAGTTTATAGGCCTCTTGGCAGTCAAAGAGAGAGAAGTCTGGTCTCATAGGGCTGGAAATATCTGCCTGGTGATGTTGCAAAGATGGCTGTCGAGCGAAGATTTTCCTATAAGGACTTTGGTAATGGTTCAGTTGTTGTTATCAGAAATTAGAGCACGAGTAGAACACTTCTCAATCAGATTGTTCTGTCAGAACTAACTATAGTATAAAACAAATAGCACATCTTATTTGACAGCCTGAGGACTGCTGAGGTACACTGGGAAAAGCTAAGAAAAAAAGAGCGCCCACTAGAGGTCTGCGTGGGACTGTTTTTTCAGTCCTGCTCCCGCCCGCTCCCGTGAGATTTCATCCCACTCCTGCAGAAAATCGGAATCATTTCTCCCGCTCCCACCCGCAACCAAAACAATTTTTCCTGCTCCCACCGGTGCAATATATCTGACACAGTCTAATCACAAATACGTTATCCTCTGTTGAATTAACACGGCAGTCGTGGTCATCAGGCTCACTGTGAGTAACTTCACCAAACGCCATTTATTCCCAGTAAACAGAGAGCAGGAATTAAACCACAGAGTGCTGATTTTTGGTGTGTTGCTGGGCAGCTGTGGCCGTCGGACTGAAGGCTCTTCCCTCTAACGCCTGATTCACACATGCTGCCTCTGTGTGGCGGGAGTAAAGCGGCCAGCGCTACAGCTCGGACACGCCGGCCTTTCCGACATATAGCATTTGTGTAGTAAGGAAGTCACACAGACATTCCTTTCTCCAGATGGACAAATGGCCACACCAGTCACTCTACTCAATAGAAATATAATTTATGAATGTGCACAGCATATTTGTTTACCCTCAACAGCATTCTGACTTGTGATTAGGCAAAAGTTTCAAGCCTGCAGACCAACTGGGAATCTGTCTGCGGCACAGAATGTTTAAGTAGAATTTCGTCATGAATTACATAAAAAATCGCCTTTTTAAGTTTTTATATGGTCTTCTGATTAATTTACATTGATTTCCATGTCTTATTTCAGTGTATTTAGCTGCATGACTTGGGAAAATCTGCCCCAGGTCTATTCTCTAAACACCCTGGGGCTTCAGCGTGGAGTTTAGGACTCTGCTGCTTCGCATGCACAGCCTGTCTGAAAGCGCTGACCACTTAACATGGACACCGAAATGAAAAGCAAGACTTTCAGCGTCACTCACGTCGCGCAGACGCAGCATGTGGGAATCAGGCCTATAAGAATCTGCGTGTTGGTCAGGATGTGATCGGGTTGCTCTGAATGACTTTTATTTTAACCGTTTTACTGTTATGTTGTTTATGTATGATTTACTGATCATTCTACTTTATTTAGGCTATTCATTAATTTGCAGGATTTCTTTATATGCGTGCTTCTGCCCGCTCCCGCCTGAGGGGATCTGATTTCCGCCCAATGCCGCAAGCAAAATAAGTCCCATGCCGCAGGTTATTGTGTTGAGTCGTGGAATCCGCAGGAGTGCAGACCTCTAGTACCCACCATTAGCCTGCCTGTTGCTCACCTGTTGCTGCTGGAAGGATGTCCACCTGTGGTCTGGAGGGGTGTCCGGAGGAGAACGACCTGCGGCTAATTACGACACTCTCCAATGGAGACATGCATCTGGTACAGTCAGCTAAGACAGGGTTTGCTGATGAAAAACAGGCCCTCATGTTTTCCTATCTACTGTAGAATCCTGTAATTTTGCCTGTAAAGATAAAAGCTCTGCATCTTTCCATGAAACAACACATCAGTAAGTCAGATGAGCACGAAAGCAGCAATGAAACATCTGTAGCATGTGTTTGTGTCATTAAAGGATATGTAGAAAGACTGTTTTTAAATAAATCCATTCCTCTCAAATGATCACACTCCTGGCTAACTGCTGCACATTCTTCCCCCAGTAATTATGCATCTATAACTTTCTCATGAAATTGTTTATATAAAGAAAAATAAAATGCTTTTTCACACATTAAAGGAATCTCTAATCTTGGAGAACGGAATTTTCCTAACCGTTGATATGGAATGTAAACACTGCTAAAGTTTCCCCAGTCCAGACTGTACATTTATGGAAATAAAGCTGAAAAGAATAGCTTGTATTGAATGAACTGTTTTGTGATGTCATGCAAAAACTATGCATTTGCATATACCCACCTATTCAGCCTACAGCAGAATTAGCCCCGCCCATTCATCCTGAAGCATAAGTGTTGCAAGGTGGACCGCTTTGAATGAGGCGTAATACAGTGCAGCCAATCAGAACAGAGCTAATTTACATATATCTTTCTTAAATGCAAGACAGCAAAACAGACTGTTTAATTAAGGGATTAAGAGAGGTTATGATCATGTAATAATGAATTATGGCTGATTTTGGTGAATGAAACCACATTTATAGTAAAGTGAAGAAAATGCAGGATATGGGCTCTTTATAACCACCTTGATAGACCTCTGTAAATTTTGTAAAAACTCATATGTTGAACACTCAAAAAGTTCATCATTCTCTTTTAATATTTCGTAAAATACAGAACAAAAAAACTGTGCAAGAAGACTAAAAGTCCAGCAGCGTAAGGCTTAAAGAGAAGACTGAAAGATGCTAAAATGGATGGAAAAAAACGGTTGTTCCAGTCTTTTCCAGAGATGTGGGAGAGCAGAATGAGACGTTGGACTGAATATGTGTCCTGTGGTAGTATTTTTGTCCAGAAACTGACCTACAGTAGTATGTTTTGTCCAGAGACTGACCTAAGTTAGTATTTTTGTCCAGAGACTGACTTATGACCTATGTTCGGAGCACCATTAGGAAGACCAGAACACCACACAACAGTCTTGTTTACTACTAAGAGTGCTGATCTGGTACAGTTGAAGTGAATGAGCGATAGAATAAAACCAGACATCACCTTTTTTTTTTGAAGATCATTCACATCCAATCAGGTGCATCTCTCTCTTCTCCAGAGGAGAAGATTATCTCTCAGATAGAACAGTGTTGCAGAACAATCTCTCTGTCACATAATGACGAAGTTCAGATCTGCACATTCGACCGAGTGTGATCTAAAGTCTCCATAGGAGACTGTGAATGTGGGAACGAGGGTGAAGAAGAGAAACTGCGAGAAAAAGGCAGAGAGGAAAAACGGAGGGAATGTTGTTGTTGTTGTTGTTGTGGTTATTCTTCCCAGGTGGGGTTTGTATCCTGTCGTCCTGTCATTCCTCTACGTGCACTTTCGGTTCTGTAGTTCTCTCTCGGTACCTCCCTCTTCACCCTCGCTCTCTCTCTCTCTCTCTCTCTCATTTGCCGTGGGCGAGCGTGTTGAGGCAGGTCCGTCTGTAGGTGGGTGTGTCCCTCATCTCCAGCACACAGTCCCTCACCATCTCCACAAACGCAGTGGGCCACAGCTTCTGCAGGGCTTCCCCCTTCACACTGGTGCTGGACGCTTGGTGCACCAGCTCTTTTAGATACTGCTCCACCACCGGGCCACGCTCCAGCACCTCACCTCCACCTTCCTGAGGGTCCGCCAGTGCACAGAGACCACCGGGGCAGGAGGAGAAAATAAGGAGAGTAACTTTTAGTACTGGGTTTAGTGCAGTGATTCCCAATCCTGGTGCTGGAGGCCCAAATCCTGCACATTTCTGTATTATTCTGTTCTAGCAAAGTCACTTCAGTTCAAGAAGGGCTTAGTTAGATCAGATGTGTCAAAGCAGAGAAAACATCATAATGTGCAGGGCAGGGGTGCTCCAGGTCCAGGGTTGGGAACCACTGGTTTAGTAAATACACAGAGGGGAACATCACAGCCTTCTAGACTTGAAGACTTTCAGGGCCTAATGATTTCTGGGAATTGAAAAGCATATATATTTTTTGTTTTCAGCTTTTTTATTATTACTTAAAAGAGTTCAGGATCAGGCTTGCTGTATATAAACTCTTGAAGGTTTATGTGAAGTGCCATTAGTGCTAACATAGTACTAGAAATACCATAGGAGAAGTTTACATTTTTGGACCAAGTTTTAGGTTTAAGCTCTAATAGCTAATATCTAGTTTGCCTCTGCAACATACACCGATCAGGCATAACATTATGACCACCTCCTTGTTTCTACGCTCAATGTCCATTTTATCAGCTCCACTTACTATATAGGTGCACTTTGTAGTTCTACAGTTACAGACTGTAGTCCATCTGTTTCTCTGATACTTTGTTAGCCCCCTTTTACCCTGTTCTTCAGTGGTCAGGACCCCCATGGACCCTCACAGAGCAGGTACTATCTGGGTGGTGGATCATTCTCAGCAGTGCAGTGACACTGACGTGGTGGTGGTGTGTTAGTGTGTGTTGTGCTGGTCTGAGTGGATCAGACACAGCAGTGCTGCTGGAGTTTTTAAACACCTCAGTGTTGCTGCTGGACTGAGAATAGTCCACCAACCAAAAATATCCAGCCAACAGCGTCCTGTGGGCAGCGTCCTGTGACCACTGATGAAGGACTAGAAGATGACCAACACAGACTGTGCAGCAGCAGATGAGCTATCGTCTCTGACTTTACATCTACAAGGTGGACTGACAAGGTAGGAGTGTCTAATAGAGTGGACAGTGAGTGGACACAGTGTTTAAAAACTCCAGCAGCACTGCTGTGTCTGATTCACTCAGACCAGCACAACACACACTAACACACCACCACCACGTCAGTCTTACTGCAGTGCTGAGAATGATCCACCACCCAAATAGTACCTGCTCTGTGAGGGTCCATGGGGGTCCTGACCACTGAAGAACAGGGTAAAAGGGGGCTAACAAAGTACGCAGAGAAACAGATGGACTACAGTCTGTAACTGTAGAACTACAAAGTGCACCTATATAGTAAGTGGAGCTGATAAAATGGACAATAAGTGCAGAAACAAGGAGGTGGTCATAATGTTACGCCTGATCGGTGTATAATACAGCATTATTACAATGCAATACCATTCAAAAGTTTAGAATCAGCATGCAAACATTTGGAATCAATGTTTTCATACATTAAAACTACTTTCACTGTCTGAACACACCCTCATATCGCCAAAATGGGAGAAGGAAAAATGTTCTTAAGTTTTGTATAAATTCATATCAGCCATTTTGGACAAATTTTATTAGTCGTCATTGAATTTTGTCACCATATAAATGGCAGCTGGAATTTTTCTTTTATTTAGAAAAATAAAAAATGACAAAAATAGAGATGCAAGGTTTAGTTTCAGACAGCCACCATATAAATGTACAAAGTGAAGTGGTGGTCCACTGAGGGATACTATGCATTTTTAAACAGGGCAAAGGAGGTCTAATAAAATTACACAGGGAAATCGATGGACTACAGTTTGTAATTGTAGAGCTACATGGTAAGTGGACATACGTATTAGTACGTCTATTCAGTAAAGTGACTAACGCATGGACATGTGGTACTGTATGTGTTAGTGTGTGACCTCAGGGCTTTCGGAGCTGGAGTCTCTGCTCGGGTAGTTAAAAAGTGCTCGGCTCATGCTTTCCCCCAGCAGTTTCCCGTTTTCCTTCAGTTCCTCTGGGCTCAACCCAGCCCTGCGACCCCTCCCCTCCAGCAGGAACTGCAGCTGCCTCTTCCTACAGAGAGAGAGAGAGAAAATCAAAAGTTATATATATTTATATTGTCGCTGTCAGAATAAAACCTTGTATCTCCAAAATAAGAACTTTACAGGAGAAGGAAAAAACACCCTTTACTTTTAATGTAAGTCAATGGAACCAGACCTTTTTCCAAGTAATTTTGTGCTGTTTCTTTTGATTCATTCATCATGAAATTTGCACACAACGTAAAGGGCATTAGGCAATTTTAAAATACATCAAAACTGAAGAAGGGAGATATAGGGTTTTGGTCCTATATATATAGTGTTGAGTTGTCTTCTCACACTGGAAGGACAGACAGAAACATCTCTGTTTTTCAGATCTGAGGCAAGAGGAGAGCTTAATTTTCTCCTCTCTCAAAGATGAAAGCTTTACGTGCTGTTTATCTGATAGGGACAGCTTAGTGGTCAACCAGGTCTTTCAGGTGGGGGCATTCGTGGGCTGGAGGCTAGGGAACCAGCCCTGTGACCAGAAGGTTGCTGGCTCGATCCCCTGAGCCGACAGTATGTGACTATAGTGCTCTTAAGCAAGGCACCTAACCCCCAACAGCTTCCCGGGTGCCGTGGATAGGGCTGCCCACCGCTCTGGGCAAGTGTGCTCACTGCCCCCTAGTGTGTGTCTTCACTAGAGTGTATGTGGTGTTTCACTGCACAGATGGGTTAGATTGCGGAGGTGAAATTTCCCTGTTGTGGGACTAATAAGGGTCACTCAATCTTGTCAGGAGTCCCATTTTCTCTGTAGCTTTAGTCCCTTTTTGAACCCCAGTTTTGGAATCTCTTCTTCTTTTACTTTCTCCTTACTCAAGCAAGTGGATTATCTCATATCTAATCCTCAGAAATATAATAATTTATAAATTTATATTTATTATATTCTAAATTTATAATTTGTCATTAATGGCTGCATTTGGCTGGAAATTAAACAAATGAAGGGTGTAATTATGGTGTGATTATTTAGGCCTGTAGGTTGCTTTAAGCTAACTGGTGGCTATAAGCTTCCACTATTCATTAAACACATTAGCCTCATAGCTCCAATGCAAAACTAAAGAAGCTTCTTCAGACACTGAACATGTATTGGCTGATCAGCTACATTTGGGGTAAAGGTGAACTATCCCTTTAATCAAATCTGTGCCTGTGTTAACTGACTGTAGTTCTGCTCTGTAGGTGCCGTGGCTGGAATACCTGTGAACAGCTCAGGGAGAAACTATGTTTCATATGAACTGCTCCCCACTGGAGCCTCAGCCAGCACAGCCTGGAGTGTTCAGGTAATCCTGAACCGGAGGCTGATTCATCCATACAGTGCTGCAAGGGCTGAAAATGGCAGCTGCCTCGAACAAGCACTGGCCTGCATCACCAGGCCATGTGCACACACTCACACACAGCTTACTGCCAGCGCTATAAAAATATCTCAGGAACTCACACACACCTACACCCTTACCCACGCACACCCATGTATCCTCTTTGGCAGCCATCACTGCCACATTACCACCTCCAACCCATAAAGAGGAAACTCCAATCTCTCTGAAACTGACCACAAGACCCCTTACACAATTAGCAGCCATTAATCAAAGCCAGTTCTCGGTCATATCCAGTTCAAGGGCGCTGCATTGCTACAACCAGCCAGTGGGAGTTTCAGGATGGATGGATGGATGGAAGCTGGAGTCAGCAAATGAGTGCATTTCTCAAGCTAGGAGTAACTCTTCAATGTCCATATCTGAAATTTTACATTTCTGTTGGCCTGTATGTTGATTTTTCAAGTCAATCACACTCAATTACACAAAAATAACCATAAACATATGAACACAAATACCTAAACACTGCAGGACCTATCCCCGCCTAACATCTTCTTCTACTCCACACTACACTCTCAAGTCACTCTGCCATCACAAGGAGATTTCTGTGCTCCACTGCTCTAACCTAGAGATCTAGAACCCTTTTGTTTTTAAATTATTTATACACAATCAATAATTTACACTGACGTTTTAATTATTTACACACTGTAGAAGCAGTGAGGAGTCACTGTTCTTCCTCCAAGTGCTCTATGATAAGAAGACAGGGTTGGGCTTCTGTGTTACTGTAGCAGTTTGGGGTTACGTTTTGATCAAGTTCATATTGAGTGCATTTATATGCACTTAATAATCCGATAACTGCAGAAAATCAGATTTTGTCAGTAATCCAAACAACACGTTTACATGTACTTGGACAGTCAGATAATGGAAAACGGATTTCTGCCTTTAAAAACTCACAGAAGACAATGTGACGTAAACGTAGCATAAAACTCAAACTTCATGCAGTGGCTTTAAAAAAAACAAAAAACACCACTTTACCTGAAAATATGAACACACATCATCTAAATCATAAAGAATATTAAAAGCATGTGTTTGATTTCAGAGTTGCTCCAAAAGTGTTTTGCTGCATCTCGCGGCAACACTGCTTGCTTATTTCCGGTGCCGCCGCCTGTTTTCACACATAAGCACATTGAGAAATCCGAAAGAAATCAGAGTAAGAGTTCACATGCACTGAGAAATCTCATTACTGAGCTAAAATCCAGCTCTCTTCATTGGATTTCTAGACCTTACTCTGATCTAAGAAATTAGAGTGTGCTGTTTACATGGCCATTTGAATAATCAGATAACTGCAGAACTCCGATTATGATCAGATTATTGAGTGCATGTAAACGAGCTGAATGTGAGATGGGAAAAAACATGCAGACAGTCCACTTCTACTTTAGCATTTCTTGAAGGTCTGATAAACTGCGCCATCGCTGCCCTGAGAATTCCAGAAATCCCCTTGAAGTCAGCCTATAAGAGCTTTGTTAATCAGAAACAGGCGTAGTTTGTTTTTCATGACGTCTCTTTATCTCTTAAGCTGTTTTTGTTACTGTGCCTTTCAGACTGACATTCGGTTCTGATTGGAAGCTTTTTATTACACCTCATTCAAAATGCAGTTTGGGCTGAGATGCATGGAAAAAACTGATTATTTCAGATTAAAATCCTCATGGAATAAACTACTTTTGGAGGTGTGGACCCTTTGGAAGGCTGCAGTGATCCATTTGCTTCCCGACAGCCAGGAACAGCACCATGTTTAAAGATTTTCTTCCACTCTAAAAACTTTGCGCCAGGCTGTCTGCAGGAACAACACTCCCCATCACTTCAACAGGAATGGGCGGGGCTAAATGGCTGTAGGCCGAGCAAATGCAAATGGTTGTGACATCACAATCATGATGAATTCAAAACCATATTTGGACTGTACGGACTCGAGAGTTAATGGTATATTTTGGAATGTTTGGAAACAATGTTTAAATAATAAATCAAATCCAATTGGATTGGATTTCCATGATAGGGAAATGCTTTGATGGAAGGCATGCTGCCAGTGGCCAGAATACACAGCAGGCTCAACCTGCAGTATTTCCACAGTCTTTTACAATACCCCAGGTTTTCAACTGAGAGTTACAGAACTTTGAGGATGGAGAGTTGGGTCTGATGGATTTCACTAGCTCTGGCCTGTGGAACACTGGCTTAAGTTAGACAGGCTGTGAAGCTCCAGGGAAATGAATGTAAGGCTAAGTTTCCGCAGTGGTGCTGGCTGGGGCATGGCCCTCACACTGTCATAAGCAGCTTTGCTCTATGAAGACTCAGTGGCTGACAGATGGAGTCAGAGCTGAAGTGGTTTTGGCTGGGCTGAGGAATGCGTGACTATGCCAGGCAGGTACCACCCTGCCCCACAGACAGCATGCCCTGCTCAGCTAACAGTCAGATATACAGTGAACACATACACACATACACAAATTGTTACAAACTGTACGGTCCAAAAGTCTGAAACCACTAGTGAAAATGCTTCTTCTCCAATTTAAATGACATTTTTTATTACAAATTATATTATCAGCAAAACAATTTGAGCAAAAAGTAAAACGTTTGAAATATTTACATGAATTTCAGAATTTCTTGGAATGTCAATGTCACAAATCTACTCAAATTGTACTTTATCTGCCTTTTTTTTATTTTTTTTATTCTACAACTTTCTGTTGTTTATTTCCAGTGTTTTCTCAGACATTTGGACCCCACTGTATGCATTTAGACACTGAAACCATGCTTGATTAGCTCCACAGCACAAAATCACTTCCCACAAATACAGACAGACAGACAGACAGGACAGGTTGATGTTGCCTCTGGCTCTCACATTACATTGCACTTTGGTTATTAAACTGTTACTCAAGTTTCTTGCTAAGATAAAAAGCAAACATGGACTCAAATTTAAACACACACGCATAAAAGTGGCAGGTTGGCACACACACACTCACACACACCTAGACTCCTCCAGTAGCAGCAACAGACGACAGCGCGGCGTTTCTGTGGAAGCGACGTGACCCAGAGTCCCAAAAAGGCGTTCCGATGCCATGACATCATTCATGGTCACCTGATACATGCAAGCAAAAAGAGTGAAAACACACTGAGTAATGAAGTGAATGCCAAAAGTTCTACTCATATTGGTATAGCCTAGAATAGGGGTTGGCAACATGCGGCTCCGGAGCCACATGCGGCTCTTTTACTGCCCTGTTGTGGATCCACAGCAGAATCTGATTTTTAGGTAAAAATAAAATAATCCTGCAGTAAATGCAGTAAAATAAAGCTCTGCTGATCGTTCTAACATAGTTTAGCAATAAATGGTCTTGAACGCTGGAGTTAATGTAGAACTGCTAATTAACCCTGAAGACTGGTGCACAGGTATCAATCTCGACTAGCTAGTAGCTAAATAATTTGCGTTTAAAATCACTCCAGTTGGTTTCCTGATACGTTTAATCTGCAACGAGAAACTCTCAAACACTAAAAAGTTGTAAGAGCTGAAGTCAGCGTCTGATTTGAATTTTCCTGTTCCGCCTTAAATGGTGTAGCAGTTACATTCTGGCGCCTCAGGTACCATTTAAGGTGGAACGGGAAAATTCGAACAAGAAGCTGGCATATGAGGAGCTGACTTCAGCCTCGTAAAAACTCGAATGATGAGAGACACTTTACAAGAAACTATTCCACTTTTGTGGAAAGGTTTCCTGCCAGAGATGTGAGAAAAGCAGCTATAGCTGAGCTAAAGCTTGAAGCAGAGCAAAGTAAGACTGCATTTTTGTTTCTACTGTATTTTTGAGTCTATACTAGGAAATCAGCACATACTGAGACATATTTACAGCCAAGATGGTAAAACGTTACTTCAGTAAATGGACATAAAATGTTGTGGCTCCCAAGGTGGTTTGTTTTTTGTTGAAAGGACAAAATGGACCTCTGGCCTATACATTACAAGCGATGACTGCAATAACTACTACTGCAATATTTCTTATGCGCCCTAAGCGTCTAAGCGCCCGCCCTGTCGGCAGGAGATAGCGAGTTTAATCCCTGCCAATGCCACAGCCATCCATCGCCAGGAGCCCAAGAGAATATAACTGTCTTCGCTCTCTTTGAATGGGTTGGATGGTCCACCCTCTACCTTACACAGCATGATACCAGCGTTGGTTAGCTGTCATAACAGAATAGGCAGTTAGTGTTCTCCTCCAAGCGTGTTGAGCTGTCCATTGATGTTGTGTTAGCAGCTTGAAGGAGGCATGTGCTAGCCTACACCCTCCAAGCTCGGCAGAAGAGAGACCTAGCAAGTAGGTGGGATCTGGCCATGAGTAAACTGGCGATAAAACTAAAAAATAATAAAGAAAAAAAAAATAATAACTCGTCTGATAGTAAGGGGCCACAGATTTATTGCCATCAGTGCAAATCCTGCCAATAAAGCAGTAATTAAGTCTCTTTGAATGTTATAAAAGAAAAATATATCCAAGAACAAAATAAACAAACAAAAAAGACAAAAAGCAATACTCTTATCTGAGTCAACATTTTGAGAATTTCAGATTTTTATTTGGGTTTTATTACCAGATATTATCATTTTTCAGAAATTTTAGCTCCTTATTAGTAGCAAAATTATCATACAGGTCCTACACTCTTGTAACGATAGGAGAACCATTTTGGGTGCTATAAAGAACACATTTTCAAAAAAGGTTCTATATAGAACAATCTATAGCACATTCTAAATCAATCAGAAGAACCCTTTCATGATGTAAAGAACCCTTTAGTCATGCATGGGGTGTTCACGGTTCTTTATAGAGCCACTGTCTTCACCAAAGGACCCTTGAAGAATCATCTTTTTTTAAGAGTGTAGATATAACTGCAAATAAGGGCTGGAAGATTAATCATTTTTATATCAAAATCAATCAAAAGACCTGCAGTGTTTTTAGCCTACATTATTAAAAATGTCGTCTTCAGTTTTAAGTGGGGAAATGTAACTTACTAACACAGAGCCTGTGAACTGCCTGCAGATAGGTTAGATCAATCTAAGGCAACCAAACCTCCATGTGTTGTGACATCACCACCACAACTTGATAGCTGTCTGGCACACTACATTCAGGGGTCAAGCCAGTGGCTAGAAAAAAGTGAATATTCTGGTCTTCTTGGCCAAAATAAAACAGGCCTGAACTGTAATTTATAGATAATAATCGCAATATGAATCACAGTCGCAATGTTAGTCCAAAAAATCATTCAGCCCTACAGCAAATTTTGTTAATATATGCTATGAGTCTATTTTTTGCTGCTTGATGCGACTGGAACGCTAGCCTAGAACATTCACTATATTGTGCAGTCTAGGCCCACAATCAAAACAGCACATGAGCTATATTTCAACTTGTATTCCTACTGCAGGAGCAGTAGTCATGTAGGCTATGCTAGTGATAGTCAAGGCAAGTTAGCTCACAGTCCCCTCTACCCCATTAACAACCAGTGCTGCTCACTAATACAAACTTTCTGGGCATTCACTGCACATCGATACAATTTCGAAATTTCATACGACTCAACGCAGAGAACACACAGGTGTGTACCTCTGTCCCATTGATCCTCTGCAGGTTAAGGTGGTTGAGTCTATATATGAGGAAGGCTCTCCACAGTGTCAGGCTGACCACAGGGTTCCCCTCTGGGTGGATGGTGACCTGTTCCAGTCGGCGGACCTGCGCTAAAGCGGCCAACTGCAGCAGCCGTGTTATATTAGTTTCCATGAAGATCAGGTGCTGAAGACAAGAAAGAGAAAGAGGGAAATGAGTCATTCTGTAAGATTCTCAATCTTATGATCATGTTTCTCCCCTCTTTATGATTCTTAGGCACACAAACATGTCTTAGATCAGTATTCCTACTCTTTAAGACACTTTATGAACACCAGCACTGGTGGGCCAGTGGGTCTTTAGTGGATAATGACAGATTTCCTCTGGTTTAATAGGCTTTAAGTAATAGGCTTCTTAAAACGGCAGATTTTTTCTGGTTTCAAAGGCCCTAAATAGACGGAAATTAAATGTTAATACCATTAAAACTGTTGTGAAAGCCTTAGAAACCTCTCTGTATATTACTGCTAGAGAAGCAGAGGAAAAAGCTCGAGCACACTGTTACTGTAAAAGAAAAGGCATTACCTGCTTTGTAAACTGGACAAATTAAGAGGACGAATAAATGAACGAATGGATGAATGCAAATATTCTTTTAAAGTTAATACTTTATACAGTATTCTGAAAAAAAATCAGAGATTACCCTTCATGTATTTAATTTCAAAATTTGTTTTTTCAGCATCAGAAAAAAAAACAGACAATATATATTTAACAGAAAACTACACAGAAGCCTTCATAACTACATACAGAGCTTTTTTAGTATTTAGTGTGTTCATTATATCTTCCACTCTTTTCAGGAGACTCGCTTTCAGTTCCTCAAAGAATCTGCAGACACACCTCCAAAGTTCAGTCTTAGAAGCTGGTTGATCATTTTCTGAAGTAATCAAACACATTCAGTGGTGTTGAGGTCTGGACTCTGGGGTGGTCAGTCCATTGTTCAGCTTCTTTGTTTGATGTGTCCGTCTCCTTTTCTCAGTGAGGCTCTTCTTGACAGCTACACATCCTTTCAGACCCACAGCGCTGAGTCGTCTTCTCACAGTGGAAGGATGGACAGAAACACCTGTGGATGTTTTCAGATCTGAAGCAGCTTGATTTTCTCCTCTCTCTCAAAGATGAAAGCTTTAAGTGCTGTTTATCTGATGGGGACAGTTTTGGTGGGGTACCAGGTCTTCCAGGTGGTTACTAGGAGACCGATTTCCTCTGTATCTTTTAATTCTGTTTTAGAAATTTGTTTTTTCCACTTTATCTTTGACTTTCTTCTTCCTTATGCAAGTAACATATCTTATATCTAATCTCCTCATAAATACTTCCTTAAAAATGAACAACTTGTACTTAATATCCCTTTTTACTGGAATTAAATTAACTAGTGGTCTCTGACTTTGAAGCTTCACTTTGAAACAATGTACACTTTAATTTAATCAGAATTTAACCTGGAACATTATGCAGCACCAGAATCAGGATTAAGAACCCAGGCTTTAGAGGAACAAGGCTCACCGTGAGGTTGGGGAATTTGAGGCGGATGCGTGGCAGGGTGGGGACGATGCTGTCAAACTGGATGTAGCGGAAGGTGATGGTGGTGACAGCGCTGGCCGTCTGCACTCCCCAGCCCCTCTCCAGCGCCTCCAAGGCCCCTGGGCCAAAGAGACGCACTGTCTCCCCATCCAGCTCAGCCACATGGCTCTCCGACAGAGAAAGGCTCTGCACGCTGGCACCCCCGGTCTCCTGGAGTCTGAAAACAACATGCAGAGAGCATCTATGCTCAGGGCCTGAATTCCAATAAAAATAGCATAGTTTCCTGCTCACCCCAAATGTGGTCAGTTAGCCAGGACATGCTTGGCTTCTGACACTGCACCCCTGTTCACAACTACATTTACTACACCAGGCGCAAAAATGTGATTGTGATGACACAGCAGATTAAGGCAGTCCTCCGGCACTGTGCATCAAGAAACTTTAGCATTCATACTGCAAATGTTATGTGGTCATCTGCATCCCTGACCACCTCTTGCGGTTTGAGTGATCCAATCACAATGTGTCTCCAAGACGCACTGTACCCCATGATGTCCACATATGGTCAGATCACCCCTGATGCATGTTAATAGGGCCTGTATGACATTCTAAACAGTTTTCCATCCACCCATTTCATGTGAATTTTGAAAAAATGTGAGAATTTTGCATAAAAAAATTGGATGGATAATCCATAAATTTCAAAAACTGGGAAAGTTGGCTTATACTCTTAGTAAGAGGCTCTACATACAAGTGAAAAAAGGTTTGTTGACTCATAACAATAGTGGAACTCGTTTTTGGTGCTATATAGAACTATTTCTGAAAGAACCATATACAGCTGTTTCTTTATTATAGAGAAGAACCATTTGAGCAAAGAACAATTTATGCATTCAAATTTTACTGCTCATGGTTCTGCTGTATATTGAACCATCGCCTTTACTAAAGAACCCTTGAAGAGCCATTTTTAGGAGTGTAGATAAAGGAGAAACGTGAAAAATAATGACGGATTGAATTAGGGTGGAAGTAGCAGGTCCATGCTTGGCACTATGCCCTGTTTGTACTGTTTGTGTCAGTGTCCGCTACCCACTCCGCCTGGCATCTCTGAACTGTAAGGGTTACAGCCAGAGAGCTGTCAAAACTGCTCTATGAGTTTTAATTTGCCGCAGCAGTTGGGGGTTAGGTGCCTTGCTGAAGGGAGCTTCAGTCACGTACTGTCGTCTCTGGGGATCAAACCGGCGACCTTCCGGTCACAAGGCTGGTTCCCTAACCTCCAGCCCACGAGCGCCCCCTAGTTAACACATTGGCTACCATCACCAGGGGGTCTATCCACCCAGAGAAAGAGGACAAATGTGCTATCATGGATTTCAAGCCATGGATGACTGTAGCATCGCTGGAGATCAAACTTGGGATCTCCTGACGGCAGAGCTTAGAGACCCGCTCGGCTCAAGAGCACCACATGCCCAGCTTCAACCCTGCTCCTGCATGGAGTGACAGGAGTGATAGCCTCTATATTTAAGAGTACATGTATGTTTCCTCACAATATATGAGAGCATTTTAACAGCTTTTTCTGGAACTTTCTTTAAGTTCACCTCCATCTTGATCACTTCGTCCTACTTTCAGAGTTTACAACATCATTTTTCAGACTTTTGTGATTGTAACGACACTTCTTTCTCTCTCTCTTCCCCACATTCCTATAAATTCTGCAATCGCTGTGTATTTTGTCTTTATTGTGCAGCTGTGTATAAGGGTCTCTGTTGAGTGGGTCTGCCTTTTCTTCTTTCCTAGCATTCGTGTGCCTCCTTAATGAGGTCATTGTTATTAAAGAGAATGTGTTCTCAATTTACTAATGACTCAATTTACTCGTGAATGCAAAGTGAAATCCTCAGTCCAAATTTAACCCTGGCAGAGTTAATCTAATTCAAGCAGATCTTTTAAGAGGCCACTTTGGACTGAGACGGCTCATTGTGCTGTGCAGGAATTAATTTGGCAGTAATGATTTCACTTTGCAGCTCCTAATTCGGTGTGTCCCGACCAGAATTCATAAGGTAGGCCTACATCAACGCTGATGGACGCAAGAAAAGCAACAATCAGGACACAATGCATCCCTGCTGAAGGAATGTACGGCTATGTAATGTGTTTAGTGCTGTGTTACATGTTATTATATTCAGTATCGTGTGTGTTGTACCATGTATGTGATGTGATTGTATCTAGAACATTCTGTTCTGCCTATTTTGGTCTATGCCTGTCACACCTGTCACTAGTCATGTATAGCCTGGGCCTAATCTTGGTATCAGTCCAGCTTTATAAAATTATGATCGTCCACCGTCCAATGGTCTGGCTAAATGTCCGCGCAAGAAATGAAACTTCAGTTCTCCACACGTACGGTTGCTCCCTGGTTTGTGGCGGGTTTGGATTCTTCATTGCACAGAGGCCACTGTGTTCCTACAGATGTAAACACAGTAGGCAGTGTAACGACTTACAGCACTGAGTGCCTACATGGTGCACTGCCAAATCCCCTAGCTGCCTGGTCCATTAGCGTAGATGCTAATCGGAGAGCCCATAACAAAGCACTGCGTTTGTTTACATGTGCTTCAATAGGATAAAGGCATTGAGTATGGTAGCTAAAACCCGTCCCAAAGAGCTCTGCATTAGGAAAGAACAGACATCCTTCTGGCAGTGTGATACGTCCATTTCAGGCAGGCTCAGTGAAGCTGTGTAGGAGAGACCCTGATTCTCTTTTGTCTGGTGCCTGGAAAGTGTCATTTAAAGTGATACTTTGGCAAAAAATCTCAAGTTTACCCAAATATACAGAACTCACCTAAGAAAACAGCCATGGTTACATGCAGCCTTATAACCTGTTAATAATCCGACCAATAGCTCAATCGGAATAGAAGACATCCATGTATACATCTCAGTCGGAATAAACTAGTCCGATTGAGACCATTTAGAATACAATTTCTATCCCATTGAACTATCCCACAGGTGGGTAATCCTGTAAATAATCCGTTAAATAGAAGAATAATAACTTGCATTCCCAATCAGAAAGTGTAAGTATGTTCTGCGCATGTGCGTCACATCATAAAGTTGATGTTATATATAGATATAAAGTGAAAGTTTATAACGTTCAACATGGCGGAGCAGAAACTGGTCTGCAGAGGAGACGAAGTTTATGCTCTGGTCTTTAAAAGACGGCGGTGGGACGGACGTCCAGCTTATGTGTCTCAGAACACGACGTCTTCCTCTCGGCCTTCTTTAATAAGGACATGTGAAGGACGTTTTCCTGAGTCTGACATCATTTCAGAGTAATGAAAAACACAAGCACTGCTCACTGCTGCTCATCTCACTCTGACTGGACTCACATGATGCTCGTTGTCATGGTAACGTCTACACTACGTGGTTCTCTATGCATATGCATAATTTTGGATCAGATTTCTTGTAGTGAGAACATAAACAGAGATGTTCCATCAGATTATCAGTCTTAATCTAGAACTGAAGTGTATTAAATCGAATTGGCAAAAATCTTTGCATGTAAACAAAGCCAGTGATATGTAAAGCTATGTTATACCTTTATTGATCCTACAAGGGGAATTTATAATGTTACTGCCCAACTAAAGCCAGTGCAATAGCAGCACAGAGCCATCAGCAAAGCAGTGCCACCTGGGCAGTAGGGGGTTAAGTGTCTTGTCCAAGGGCACAACCAGGTTTACCCAGGCAGTCCTGGGATTTGAACCCACAACCTTCTGGCTGCTGGCTCACCTCTCCAAATAACAAAAAACATTACAGTGTGCATATGGCCTTGTGCATATGCGTCGTAGACTGTTTTGAGGCAGTGTTGGTTTCAGTCAAGTAATAGACCAGTTTCCTGTTTACAAACATTACTGGGTGAATGCGCACCCATGGGGCGGAAACGCTTTGGTGACTTAGCCAGTCACAAGATTGTAAAGTTAGTCAACTTTTGTAATCACCACAGATTTCGCATTGTTTCTAAATTTTTGTTGAGTCAAACATAAAATGCTATTTCAGTGTTTCATCTGTTTGTCTTTTATTTGCATATTAATATATCACTATATAAAACATTAGTATGTAAAACATTAGCAAACAATAGTTGGCTTTCAGTACCGGCTCTCTTTATCAGGAGAATGGTGGTACCATTGTGTAGCTAAGCTAAGTAAACAGACAATTTAGGTGACCAGTAAGTAAGGCTATGACCTACTGAATAAAAGCAATATCATTTAGTTTAGCTGTCCTTGACATGAATCTCACAATGCTAGCTTACTCATTACCTAACTAGCTAATGTTAGCAAACAAAAACGTACCGGCGTTCTGACGAATTGTGCTAACTTACCTTGTCAAAATGTCCTACCGTAGCGCATATCACATGATGCTGAAGTCAGCTTTTTATTTGTAGCTTCTTGTTTTAATTTTCCCGTTCCACCTTAAAGCAGTTACAGCAGTTACATTCTGGCACCTCAGGTCACAAATGTGAAGCTGGCGAATAGGACGCCGACTTCAGACTCATCTAAATCACTGTGTCACAAAATGCTACCAGCATTACACTACAGTTAGGATGTGCTAAAGCTTTAAACATATGAAGCTGTCGGCTTCTTATTAAAATTTTCCTACTATATTCTGGCACCCTTATCAGAAAATGAATATGAAGTGGGCGTCGCACAGACTTTCGCTGCCTTTGGGACCCCTTTTGATGGCCTGGATCCATAATCTTCTGTGGTTTTGGTAAAGGGATGTGATCCCCTCGGGATATTAAACTAATCCAACCAATCCTTATCTGTGGTTGGTGCAGTATAAAGCACAGAAACTCCCTGCCATCTTTGCTTTATGCCATGAAGAGAACTGCTTTCTGCCTCCTACTTCATGGTGATGACGTTGCACAGAAACCTGTCTATAGGAAGCTAGTGTTGCTTTTACCATCCACATACCTGTGTGAGGGCAGGTTTTAGCTTTGACAGTGACCACAATAAGCTTCCTTAACAGTCTGGAGGGTAGTTACATACTGCACTAGTCACTCACAGATATAACACCATGCTATAACCTTTGTCTGTGGAAAACAAAGGCCTTAGACATATGATTTCCATGTATTTTTGTTTCATCTGTTAGGTGGCAAACAGCTAATCACGTGACACACCGCCCATCTGCGATTCGGTCCATGTTAGCTAAGTAGTGGATTGGCAAACTGTTGCTACAATTACTGTTGTGAAGCTAACCAGT